GGAGAGCCTTTGACTCCAAAACAGACTTTACATGGTTTTCAATGGGAGCAACACTGTCCTGTCTCTGCTCATGCGCCCCCTACAGGCCAGTTTAATGAAAACCTTTTTACGGTTGTCTGAAATGCGTTCGAACGTCATTATTTTTTGTTAATATTCGATTTATGTTTGAATATCGGTTTTCGTTTCCCAGCCCCAGCTCAGTCCCTCTGTGTCCTGGGTCTTCCCCTGGTGTCCTCTCTGTGGGACGCAGAAGCAGCGGCTCTACTCCGAGCTACTCTGAGCTCCTCCCCCTGTCTCTAAGTTTATGTTTTTAATCATGACGAAATGTGCAAAAGTTCAGACGCACTTTTGAGACGCACTGTTATAAAAACGTTGTAAATAACTTTTCTCTCTCGCTCTTTCACAAAACGTTCCATTCTCAGAAAATTGCAACCAACACATTTACCGTCAATTGTGCGGACCACAATGCACCATGTTTTGCACCATATTATTTCATTTTGTGGCCGGGAACATTCTGCGGCAACAACAACGTCCTCTGGCAAGTTTTTCTATCATAGTTTCAGTGGATTTTATTATTTTTAAAGTTGCTGCTTGGATGCACATTAATAACTCGCACATATTTGTGGCGTTGACGCTAATGTATCGCCTCCCGGAGGTCAGGCGGCTCGCGGAGGAAGTGGACTGTGCAGAATGGGGACAAATGGGAGCTGTTTGCCTGGAGCTGCACGGCGGAAATTGTGTGCATTCAAGTGGAGTAAATTGTAAATAGTTGTTAGATATAAGGATTAAAAAAGGAAGCCTGGATGGAGAGAGGGTTTCTGTGATTGCTTTTCTCAGGTGGATCCACTTTGGTCACGGTGTGTCTGGTGAAGGAGGCTGTAGCGTGAGGTCAGAGCCAAAGAAAAAGTGTATTTATACGGTGAGTTTGTGGCTGTCATTACTTCCTGTTTTGGTAATTGCCCCGCCCTTTTACACCTGTGTCTCCCAGTCACTCACCTGATCTGGTCCTGGACTTTTCCGTGGTTTTGTCTCATGTTTTATTGGACTATTGGACTGAGTCTGAGTCTGAGTCTGAGTCTGAGTCTGAGTCTGAGTCTGAGTCTGAGTCTGAAGCCAAGTCTGAGTTTGAGTTCGAAACCGAGTCTGAAACTGAGTCTGAAACCGAGTCCTAAGCCGAGTCTGAAACCGTGCTCTTCAGAGTCCCAGCAGGAGGCCAGTCCCTGTGCTCCTCAGAGTCCCAGCAGGAGGCCAGTCCCTGTGCTCCTCAGAGTCCCAGCAGGAGGCCAGTCCCTGTGCTCCTCAGAGTCCCAGCAGGAGGCCAGTCCCTGTGCTCCTCAGAGTCCCAGCAGGAGGCCAGTCCCTGTGCTCCTCAGAGTCCCAGCAGGAGGCCAGTCCCTGTGCTCCTCAGAGTCCCAGCAGGAGGCCAGTCCCTGTGCTCCTTAGAGTCCCAGCAGGAGGCCAGTCCCTGTGCTCCTCAGAGTCCCAGTAGGAGGCCAGTCCCTGTGCTCCTCAGAGTCCCAGCAGGAGGCCAGTCCCTGTGCTCCTCAGAGTCCCAGCAGGAGGCCAGTCCCTGTGCTCCTCAGAGTCCCAGCAGGAGGCCAGTCCCTGTGCTCCTCAGAGTCCCAGCAGGAGGCCAGTCCCTGTGCTCCTCAGAGTCCCAGCAGGAGGCCAGTCCCTGTGCTCCTCTGAGTCCCAGCAGGAGGCCAGTCCCTGTGCTCCTCAGAGTCCCAGCAGGAGGCCAGTCCCTGTGCTCCTCTGAGTCCCAGCAGGAGGCCAGTCCCTGTGCTCCTCAGAGTCCCAGCAGGAGGCCAGTCCCTGTGCTCCTCAGAGTCCCAGCAGGAGGCCAGTCCCTGTGCTCCTCTGAGTCCCAGCAGGAGGCCAGTCCCTGTGCTCCTCAGAGTCCCAGCAGGAGGCCAGTCCCTGTGCTCCTCAGAGTCCCAGCAGGAGGCCAGTCCCTGTGCTCCTCAGAGTCCCAGCAGGAGACCAGTCCCTGTGCTCCTTAGAGTCCCAGCAGGAGGCCAGTCCCTGTGCTCCTCAGAGTCCCAGTAGGAGGCCAGTCCCTGTGCTCCTCAGAGTCCCAGCAGGAGGCCAGTCCCTGTGCTCCTCAGAGTCCCAGCAGGAGGCCAGTCCCTGTGCTCCTCAGAGTCCCAGCAGGAGGCCAGTCCCTGTGCTCCTCAGAGTCCCAGCAGGAGGCCAGTCCCTGTGCTCCTCAGAGTCCCAGCAGGAGGCCAGTCCCTGTGCTCCTCTGAGTCCCAGCAGGAGGCCAGTCCCTGTGCTCCTCAGAGTCCCAGCAGGAGGCCAGTCCCTGTGCTCCTCAGAGTCCCAGCAGGAGGCCAGTCCCTGTGCTCCTCAGAGTCCCAGCAGGAGGCCAGTCCCTGTGCTCCTCAGAGTCCCAGCAGGAGTCCAGTCCCTGTGCTCCTCAGAGTCCCAGCAGGAGGCCAGTCCCTGTGCAAATTCAAATACAAAACATATTCTGAGACTTACAGGTTAAAACCACTCTGTCCTCACACGTTCACTCCTCCTCTCCTTGTATCTGTTCTTCTTGTACCTACGCTGAGCACACAGGGCTGTCCGTACCTACGCTGAGCACACAGGGCTGTCCGTACCTACGCTGAGCACACAGGGCTGTCCGTACCTACGCTGAGCACACAGGGCTGTCCGTACCTATGCTGAGCACCAGTGGCGGAGCCAGATTTATATAAACAGAGGGTGGCCAGGGGGTGGCAAGGGTTTTTTAAGGGGTCCACATTTATACTTTTCAGAAATTTTATTTCACACAAAAACTGGCTAAACGATACATTTTAATCTTAATCTTATGTTTATTCTTTATATAAAGTGAACTGAGTGCACTTGGAAACTACAAGCAAAAAAGTGCATTTAAACAGTAGTCTGAACAAAAAAAGTGCAAAATGACATCATTCAAACATTGCATTTTTCTTTTAACAAATTTAGCAAATTCCTGTGGTTCTGGTGTAAAGCAGCCAATATGTTGACAAACTCATCCATATTCAGCCCTGAGCCTCCTTTACTCTACACTGAGGATACCAAGATGACTAGGGATGCACCGATCCGATACTGGTATCGATATCGGCGCCAATACCAGAAAAAATACTGGATCGGATATCTGCGTAGAGAGAGGCGCCGTGCTGCCAATCCATTTTCTTTTCTTTCTTTTTTTAAAATCATATATATTTTTTAATACTTACCAGGTACCGCACAATGTCTTATTATGCACAATATATTGTGCATAATGTACATATACGTATATAATGAATTCATTAAAAGTAATGTATCAGATGTGTCACTTCCTCGTGGCGCTCTACAACAACACAGCGTTGTTCACGCGGCGGTGAACCAGAGAAATACAACACGACTAAGCACCACGAGAAACAGCACGGGGAGTTTCTGCATTGAAAGGAGATTACGTGAAAACAACGAGACACAGATGACACTGACGCAGCGTCACAAAAATCTTTTCAGCAACAACCCCAAAGTGTTGGAGTTCATCATGGGCTCGCAGCCCCATAGACCATTTGGAACCCAGGTCCATGCCGTCGCCAAATACATATCTGAAATCCACTTAAAGCTACGGTACTATTATTTATTTACATTTTCATGCAGCGTGTTTTGTTTGTTGTGTTTTTTTATTCAAACACAGTTAATATAAGTACATTTATATTCAGTAAATGTAAAAGGAATAATACAGAGTTGAATGTTTAATGTGAACATTGAGCAGCTCTTTATAGTCGCAGTTTTGCACATTTATGTTCAATCCATTTTTATCTGGAAAGTTTATCTTTAGTTCATCCACTGCTTTTGCAGTTACTTGAACAAAGAGTTACATTATTAAATAAATTTTAGCATGATCATTTCCAGTATCGGTCAATATCGGTATCGGCAGAAACCCATAGCTCTGGTATCGGTATCGGTAGTAAAAAAGCTGGATCGGTGCATCTCTAAAGATGACTATCATCTGCCATGGTAGTTCTGAGATAGCCTGGTCGTACCACACCATAGTACAAATTACATTTCATACTAAGGTCTGGATTGTCTCCATTGACTCCGTTAACAGGTGGGAGGGGCTAACTCCTTTTGCAGATTGAAACGATTGGATCTGAGTTTACTGTGATGTATGCAGTGGGCCCGAGTGTGTTGTTAGCATTTAGCATTTAGCCTAGCTTTAGCCATCTCCTTTGCCGCTAACAGAGCCTGTGGGGGAGTAGCGCCACAATCTTGACCAGCGATTACATTTGCTAAACATTCATCTTGCTCCGGCTTCAATTTCTTGATGGAACCAGACCAGATTATTTTACCATCGCATTCTTCGCCGTTGCCAAACTACAACCTGCCCGTTCGGCGCAAACTCTTGACGTCACCGGCACCGACCTACAACACCCGCCTTCCGCGCTCTCTGAGTAGCCGGTCAAAATACGATTGTAATCGCTAACACAGGGACCAGACCCAGACGTTACATGCAGTGAAATGATGATTGAGTGGAGTGTACGGATGGATAAGGCCAGGCTAGTTCTGAGATGGTTTTTAATAAGTTTTAGGGCAGAGAAACTTCTTTCACAAGATGCAGTACTGACAGGTATTAAAAAGATCTTTGCAAGCCTCAGAAGCTCATGAAACACTTTCCAAACGTTCCAAAAGGACAAGGAAGTCCAACAGGGACTCTCTAATCCATGTTTTCCTCCCAAGAATCCACCTAGTTTGACCTCATGCTTAAGGTCCTCTATATCTGACTCAAAGGATCTGCCAAATGGAAACAGAGGCTCTTCTTTCACAAATATGTTGGGGTCAAGCGACTGCACATCGTCCATAATCTTAGCTTTTTTGTACTTTTTTTTGTGTGTGAAAAACGCCTCTCTAATTCTGCCAATAAACAATCCAGCACCGCTCATTCTCTGAAACTGAATTATATAAGCTATATTTTAATACAACACAACAAATTCCTCATCATGAACATTCTCTATTGGGAGATGTTCCTCCTCCATCACCTCCTCCATCACCTCCTCCATCACCTCCTCCATCACCTCCTCCATCACCTCCTCCATCACCTCCTCCATCACCTCCTCCATCACGTCCTCCATCACCTCCTCCATCACCTCCTCCATCACCTCCTCCATCACCTCCTCCATCACCTCCTCCATCACCTCCTCCATCACCTCCTCCTCCATCACGTCCTCCATCACCTCCTCCATCACCTCCTCCATCACCTCCTCCATCACCTCACCTCCTCCATCACCTCCTCCATCACCTCCTCCATCACCTCCTCCATCACCTCCTCCATCACGTCCTCCATCACCTCCCCCATCACCTCCTCCATCACCTCCTCCATCACCTCCTCCATCACCTCCTCCATCACCTCCTCCTTCACCTCCTCCATCACCTCCTCCATCACCTCCTCCATCACCTCCTCCATCACCTCCTCCATCCCCTCCTCCATCACCTCCTCCATCCCCTCCTCCATCGCCTCCTCCATCACCTCCTCCATCACCTCCTCATCACCTCCTCCATCCCCTCCTCCATCCCCTCCTCCATCACCTCCTCCATCACCTCCTCCATCCCCTCCTCCATCGCCTCCTCCATCACCCTCCATCACTCCATCACCTCCTCATCACCTCCTCCATCACCTCCTCCATCACCTCCTCCATCACCTCCTCCATCCCCTCCTCCATCACCTCCTCCATCACCTCCTCCATCCCCTCCTCCATCACCTCCTCCATCCCCTCCTCCATCGCCTCCTCCATCACCTCCTCCATCACCTCCTCATCACCTCCTCCATCCCCTCCTCCATCACCTCCTCCATCACCTCCTCCATCCCCTCCTCCATCGCCTCCTCCATCACCTCCTCCATCACCTCCTCATCACCTCCTCATCACCTCCTCCATCACCTCCTCCATCACCTCCTCCATCACCTCCTCCATCCCCTCCTCCATCACCTCCTCCATCACCTCCTCCATCCCCTCTTCCATCACCTCCTCCATCACCTCCTCCATCACCTCCTCCATCCCCTCCTCCATCGCCTCCTCCATCACCTCCTCCATCACCTCCTCATCACCTCCTCCATCACCTCCTCCATCACCTCCTCCATCACCTCCTCCATCACCTCCTCCATCCCCTCCTCCATCGCCTCCTCCATCACCTCCTCCATCACCTCCTCCATCCCCTCCTCCATCACCTCCTCCATCCCCTCCTCCATCGCCTCCTCCATCACCTCCTCCATCACCTCCTCATCACCTCCTCCATCCCCTCCTCCATCACCTCCTCCATCACCTCCTCCATCCCCTCCTCCATCGCCTCCTCCATCACCTCCTCCATCACCTCCTCCATCCCCTCCTCCATCACCTCCTCCATCACCTCCTCCATCACCTCCTCCATCACCTCCTCCATCCCCTCCTCCATCACCTCCTCCATCCCCTCCTCCATCACCTCCTCCATCACCTCCTCCATCACCTCCTCCATCCCCTCCTCCATCGCCTCCTCCATCACCTCCTCCATCACCTCCTCATCACCTCCTCCATCACCTCCTCCATCACCTCCTCCATCACCTCCTCCATCACCTCCTCCATCCCCTCCTCCATCGCCTCCTCCATCACCTCCTCCATCACGTCCTCCATCACGTCCTCCATCACCTCCTCCATCACGTCCTCCATCACCTCCTCCATCACCTCCTCCATCACGTCCATCCTCACCTCCTCCATCACGTCCTCCATCACCTCCTCCATCACCTCCTCCATCACCTTCTCCATCACCTCCTCCATCACGTCCTCCATCTCCTCCATCACCTCCTCCATCACCTCCTCCATCACCTCCTCATCACCTCCTCCATCACCTCCTCCATCACCTCCTCCATCACCTCCTCCATCACCTCCTCCATCACCTCCTCCATCACGTCCTCCATCACGTCCTCCATCACCTCCTCCATCACCTCCTCCATCACCTCCTCCATCACCTCCTCCATCACGTCCTCCATCACCTCCTCCATCACCTCCTCCATCACGTCCTCCATCACGTCCTCCATCACCTCCTCCATCATGTCCTCCATCACCTCCTCCATCACGTCCTCCTTCACCTCCTCCATCACCTCCTCCATCACCTCCTCCATCACCTCCTCCATCACCTCCTCCATCTCCTCCTCCATCACGTCCATCCTCACCTCCTCCATCACGTCCATCCTCACCTCCTCCATCACCTCCTCCATCACGTCCTCCATCACCTCCTCCATCACCTCCTCCATCACGTCCTCCATCACCTCTTCCTTCACCTCCTCCATCACCTCCTCCATCACGTCCTCCATCACCTCCTCCATCACCTCCTCCATCACCTCCTCCATCACGTCCTCCATCACCTCCTCCATCACCTCCTCCATCACGTCCATCCTCACCTCCTCCATCACGTCCTCCATCACCTCCTCCATCACCTCCTCCATCACCTCCTCCATCGGCGGCACGGTGGCTGAGTGGATAGCACTCTCGCCTCTCAGCAAGAAGGTCCTGGGTTCGAATCCCGGTCGGACCAGGGCCTTTCTGAGTGGAGTTTGCATGTTCTCCCCGTGTCTGCGTAGGTTTCCTCCGGGTACTCCGGTTTCCCCTACCACTAAAAATATGTCCAATAGTTCTGGCATGTGCCTCCTGTACTGGCCCCCCTCCCATCTCTGTGTGGAGTGAGAGACAAATGCCCAAATTAACAATTGTAAACCGCTTTGAGACTCAGATCTGCAGTGAAAAGGTGGTATATAAATAAACACTTACTACTTACTTACTTACTCCATCACCTCCTCCATCACCTCCTCCATCACCTCCTCCATCACCTCCTCCATCACGTCCTCCTTCACCTCCTCCATCACCTCCTCCATCACGTCCTCCATCACCTCCTCCATCACCTCCCCCATCACCTCCTCCATCACCTCCTCCATCACCTCCTCCATCATCACCTCCTCCATCACCTCCTCCATCACCTCCTCCATCACCTCCTCCATCACCTCCTCTATCACCTCCTCCATCACCTCCTCCATCACCGTGTGGTTCGCTGGAGCCACAGTCAGGGACAAACAGAGACTACAGAGCATTGTGCGCTCTGCAGAGGAAGTGATCGGCCGCAGCCTTCCATCGCTGCAGGACCTGTACGTCGCCCGAGCTCGAGGCCGGGCTGGTCGTATCACAGCCGACCCCTCTCACCTGCACATGGACTATTCCAACCACTCCCCTCTCACCTGCACATGGACTATTCCAACCACTCCCCTCTCACCTGCACATGGACTATTCCAACCACTGCCCTCTCACCTGCACATGGACTATTCCAACCACTCCCCTCTCACCTGCACATGGACTATTCCAACCACTCCCCTCTCACCTGCACATGGACTATTCCAACCACTCCCCTCAGGCAGGAGACTGCGGTCCATCAGGACTAGAACCTCCCGCCACAAGAACAGTTTCTTCCCCTCTGCTGTTGGACTCTTGAACACTTCTTAACCTGTCCCCCGCCCTTTATAAAGTCACTTTACTGCCCTTTATAAAGTCACTTTACTGCCCTTTATAAAGTCACTTTACTGCCCATCATACGTCACTTTACTGCCCATCATACGTCACTTTACTTCACTGTACTGCTGTCACCTTACATTGTGTGCACCATGTGCACTTGTATATTGTAAATAGTAACTGTAACTCTATTTTAAATTTACATTTATTCATTAGAAGTGTTTTTTATTCTTTATTTTTATTATCTCTTTCTGACTGTTGCACTGAGCCAAAGCAATTTCCAAGTCTGTGACCTCCTGTTACTTACGTGGCAATAAAAATGATTCTGATCTGATTCTGATTCTCAAGACATACTGCCTCCGAGTCTGACCTTCAGGTGAGGTTTCATCATCCTGATCTACAGCCTTTTCTTTACAAAGAAAGATGCAATGTCTCCTCCTTTTCTTTTCATGTTTACACTAAAGGGAAGAGGGCGATGATACGATGGGCAATTATTAATGGAGAATACACACGCATGCACACCCGCACGCACACCCGCACGCACACACACACTGGCACACACAGGCACGCAGACACACACTGGCACACACAGACACACAGACACACACTGGCACACACAGACATGCAGACACACACTGGCACACACAGGCACGCAGACACACACTGGCACACACAGACACACACACACACACACACACACACGTGTGTCTATACTTTGTGTTAAATGTAAACGGTTGGCTCTGCGTCGCTAACTTACCTCTTTGTTTTCATCACGACTTGGGCACATGTGTGAGTCCAACAACCCAATACATTATCATACAGCACCGGCTCCACAGGAGTCAGGGTGCGTTCACAGACGGGGGAAACCGTGGGAATTTTTAGATTTTGGCGGAAAAAGTGCGGAAGATTCTCAAGATTAACATTATTACATTGCAGTCTTCCGAGGGGGGCACTGGGGGTGGCAAGGGTATTTTTAGAGGTGGCAGTGGCCACCCTGGCTACCCCTCTGGCTCCGCTACTGCTGAGCACACAGGGCTGTCCGTACCTACGCTGAGCACACAGGGCTGTCCGTACCTACGCTGAGCACACAGGGCTGTCCGTACCTATGCTGAGCACACAGGGCTGTCCGTACCTACGCTGAGCACACAGGGCTGTCCGTACCTACGCTGAGCACACAGGGCTGTCCGTACCTATGCTGAGCACACAGGGCTGTCTGTACCTATGCTGAGCACACAGGGCTGTCCGTACCTACGCTGAGCACACAGGGCTGTCCGTACCTACGCTGAGCACACAGGGCTGTCCGTACCTACTGCTGAGCACACAGGGCTGTCCGTACCTACTGCTGAGCACACAGGGCTGTTCGTACCTACGCTGAGCACACAGGGCTGTCCGTACCTACTGCTGAGCACACAGGGCTGTCCGTACCTACGCTGAGCACACAGGGCTGTTCGTACCTACGCTGAGTGAGCACACAGGGCTGTCCGTACCTACGCTGAGTGAGCACACAGGGCTGTCCGTACCTACGCTGAGCACACAGGGCTGTCCGTACCTACGCTGAGCACACAGGGCTGTTCGTACCTACGCTGAGCACACAGGGCTGTCCGTACCTACTGCTGAGCACACAGGGCTGTCCGTACCTACTGCTGAGCACACAGGGCTGTCCGTACCTACGCTGAGTGAGCACACAGGGCTGTCCGTACCTACTGCTGAGCACACAGGGCTGTCCGTACCTACGCTGAGTGAGCACACAGGGCTGTCCGTACCTACTGCTGAGCACACAGGGCTGTCCGTACCTATGCTGAGCACACAGGGCTGTCCGTACCTACGCTGAGCACACAGGGCTGTCCGTACCTACGCTGAGCACACAGGGCTGTCCGTACCTATGCTGAGCACACAGGGCTGTCCGTACCTACGCTGAGCACACAGGGCTGTCCGTACCTATGCTGAGCACACAGGGCTGTCCGTCGCTCTCTGCCGGCTTCATTGTTGCTCCATTAGCTGCAGCCGTTTGATGTGAGATCATTTTGTACCTGTGCGCTACATCTGAGGCCGAGCGCAGGAGATAAGAGGCGACCCAGATTCGGAAAGGGCCCCGTGCCAAACCCACGTCCCACAATCCTTTGCTGCTGCGTCTTGTTTTCGGCGCACAAAGCTTTTTTAATGATATCTTACACCGCATCAAAAGGATGGAAATGTGGAGGTCATGGAGGTGCTTTCAGAGGAGTGGGTGGGGCTACAGAGGAGGGGGTGGGGCTACAGAGGAGGGGGTGGGGCTACAGAGGAGGGGGTGGGGCTACAGAGGAGGGGGTGGGGCTACAGAGGAGGGGGTGGGGCTACAGAGGAGGGGGTGGGGCTACAGAGGAGGGGGTGGGGCTACAGAGGAGGGGGTGGGGCTTAGAGGCAAAAACTGCTCTTGAAAAAAAAAAAAGACTAAATAAACTGTCTTTAAATTTGGACCAGAGCAGACTCCTCCCATGTCCTCAAATCTTCAGGTTAAGACTGAACTCACTGAGGAAATGGGTGGAGTCTGCTCTGGTCCAGCTGGGTCTGATAGAAAACCTGCAGCCACAGCGGCCCTTTCTGGACCGGTTTGGACGCCCCTGCCTTAGACCTTCCTCATCAGCAAGAAACTACTCAAATGTGCCATATATTCCAACATTTTGAAGTCTGCGGCTTATAGTCAGGTGCGGCTTATAGTCCGGACAATACGGTAGATGTAATTGTAGAGGCCGAACTGTACCTTTGCTTCTGAGATATGCCCAAAGCCTGAATGCAGACATGTCCACAAGTCGTCATGGTGATGTAAAAATCAATGCTTCTGGACGACAAAGCTCCATAAAAGTGTGATCAAGAAGCGATATTGTACGCTCGAAACAGTGACGAAGAGCAGCTCGTTCTGTCCACTCTCAGAAGCGTCCTGGCTTTTCAGCAAGATGGTCCTGGGTTCGAATCCCGGTCGGAACAGGGCCTTTCTGAGTGGAGTTTGCATGTTCTCTCCGTGTCTGTGTGGGGTTCCTAAGGGTGCTTCGGTTTCCCCTACCACTAAAAACATGCACAATAGGTCTGGATGTAAATGAGTGAGTGAATGGAGGGTGTTTGGTCGGTGGCTTTGATGGACCGGTGTGTTCGGCGACTCGCTTCACCGCTTGGAGAGAAATACTTACTACAGGAGAGGAGGTGTCTGTGTGATTTGAACAAGGTTGTGACATGGTTTAAAACTCAAAAGGCTGATACGTCCTCCTCCTCTTTCTCTTTCCTCTTCCTCTCTCCTCTTCCTCTCTCCTCTTTCTCTCTCCTCTTTCTCTCTCCTCTTTCTCTCTCCTCTTTCTCTCTCCTCTTTCTCTCTCCTCTTCCTCTCTCCTCTTCCTCTCTCCTCTTTCTCTCTCCTCTTTCTCTCTCCTCTTCCTCTCTCCTCTTTCTCTCTCCTCTTTCTCTCTCCTCTTTCTCTCTCCTCTTCCTCTCTCCTCTTTCTCTCTCCTCTTCCTCTCTCCTCTTCCTCTCTCCTCTTTCTCTCTCCTCTTTCTCTCTCCTCTTCCTCTCTCCTCTTCCTCTCTCCTCTTCCTCTCTCCTCTTCCTCTCTCCTCTTTCTCTCTCCTCTTTCTCTCTCCTCTTCCTCTCTCCTCTTCCTCTCTCCTCTTCCTCTCTCCTCTTCCTCTCTCCTCTTTCTCTCTCCTCTTTCTCTCTCCTCTTCCTCTCTCCTCTTTCTTCTCCTCTTCTTCTCCTCTTCTCTCTCCTCTTCCTCTCTCCTCTTCCTCTCTCCTCTTCCTCTCTCCTCTTTCTCTCTCCTCTTTCTCTCTCCTCTTTCTCTCTCCTCTTCCTCTCTCCTCTTTCTCTCTCCTCTTTCTCTCTCCTCTTTCTCTCTCCTCTTCCTCTCTCCTCTTTCTCTCTCCTCTTTCTCTCTCCTCTTCCTCTCTCCTCTTCCTCTCTCCTCTTTCTCTCTCCTCTTCCTCTCTCCTCTTTCTCTCTCCTCTTCCTCTCTCCTCTTTCTCTCTCCTCTTTCTCTCTCCTCTTTCTCTCTCCTCTTTCTCTCTCCTCTTTCTCTCTCCTCTTCCTCTCTCCTCTTTCTCTCTCCTCTTTCTCTCTCCTCTTCCTCTCTCCTCTTCCTCTCTCCTCTTTCTCTCTCCTCTTCCTCTCTCCTCTTTCTCTCTCCTCTTCCTCCTCCTCCTCCTTTATTGTCTGTTTGTTTGTCTGTGTTGATCTGGACCACGAGTCTGTAATAAAGTTATCTATCTATCCTCTCTCTCTCCTTCCTCTTCCTTGTCCTTGTCCTTCTCTCTCCTCCTCTCTCCTTGTCTTCCTCTCTCTTCTTCCTCATCCTCTCTTCTCCTTCTCGCTCTTCTTCCTCTTCCTCCTTGTCCTCCTCCTCTCTCCTCCTCTTCCTCTCTCTTCCTCCTCTTCCTTGTCCTCTCTCCTCGTCCTCCTCCTCTCTCCCCCTTGTCCTCTCCTTGTCCTCTCTCCTCTCTCTCCTCGTCCTCCTCCTCTCTCCCCCTTGTCCTCTCCTTGTCCTCTCTCCTCTTCTCTCCTCGTCCTCCTCCTCTCTCCTCCTCTCTCCTCGTCCTCCTCCTCTCTCCCCCTTGTCCTCTCCTTGTCCTCTCTCCTCTTCTCTCCTCGTCCTCCTGCTCTCTCCTTGTCTTCCTCTCTCTCCTTCCTCTTCCTCTTCCTTGTCCTCTCTCCTCGTCCTCCTCCTCTCTCCCCCTTGTCCTCTCCTTGTCCTCTCTCCTCTTCTCTCCTCGTCCTCCTCCTCTCTCCCCCTTGTCCTCCTTGTCCTCTTTCCTCTTCTCTCCTCGTCCTCCTCCTCTCTCCTTGTCTTCCTCTCTCTTCCTCCTCTTCCTCCTCGTCCTTGTCTTCTCTCCTTGTCCTTTCTCCTCTTCCTCCTCCTCCTCTTCCTCTCTCTTCCTCCTGCTCACAGTACCTCTGCCCCCCTTGGAGCTCAGCTGGCTCAGAGCACAGACTTCTGCTGATGTCTGCAGTTTTTACTCCATGTGTCATTAGGTCGTTTGGTCCACGGTGATGGGCTCCCTCCTACGGGACGTCCCAGAACAGGGTCTGGGACCGGGGCAGGTGTGGGGAGGTCCCAGAACAGGTCCTGGGACCGGGGCAGGTGTGGGGAGGTCCCAGAACCGGGCCTGGGACCGGGGCAGGTGTGAGGAGGTCCCAGAACAGGGCCTGGGACCGGGGCAGGTTTGAGGAGGTCCCAGAACAGGGCCTGGGACCGGGGCAGGTTTGAGGAGGTCCCAGAACAGGGCCTGGGACCGGGGCAGGTTTGAGGAGGTCCCAGAACAGGGCCTGGGACCGGGGCAGGTTTGAGGAGGTCCCAGAACAGGGCCTGGGACCGGGGCAGGTTTGAGGAGGTCTCAGAACAGGGCCTGGGACCGGGGCAGGTTTGAGGAGGTCCCAGAACAGGGCCTGGGACCGGGGCAGGTTTTAGGAGGTCTCAGAACAGGGCCTGGGACCGGGGCAGGTTTGAGGAGGTCTCAGAACAGGGCCTGGGACCGGGGCAGGTTTGAGGAGGTCCCAGAACAGGGCCTGGGACCGGGGCAGGTTTGAGGAGGTCCCAGAACAGGGCCAGGGACCGGGGCAGGTTTGAGGAGGTCCCAGAACAGGGTCTGGGACCGGGGCAGGTTTGAGGAGGTCCCAGAACAGGGCCTGGGACCGGGGCAGGTTTGAGGAGGTCCCAGAACAGGGCCTGGGACCGGGGCAGGTTTGAGGAGGTCTCAGAACAGGGCCTGGGACCGGGGCAGGTTTGAGGAGGTCTCAGAACAGGGCCTGGGACCGGGGCAGGTTTGAGGAGGTCTCAGAACAGGGCCTGGGACCGGGGCAGGTTTGAGGAGGTCTCAGAACAGGGCCTGGGACCGGGGCAGGTTTGAGGAGGTCTCAGAACAGGGCCTGGGACCGGGGCAGGTTTGAGGAGGTCCCAGAACAGGGCCTGGGACCGGGGCAGGTTTGAGGAGGTCCCAGAACAGGGCCTGGGACCGGGGCAGGTGTGAGAAGCAGAGGCCCTCAGCTTTGAGATGGATGAGCAGCTAATGACCCCCAACGCCGTTGCTGCTGCGGCCTCACTCAACTTTTAGAATATTATAAACTTAGCTTTTTGGTGAGGTCTGTCTGGAGTAATATTGTTCTACCGTTTGGCAAAACAGTTTCCATTTAGACTAAGCCCGTGACTTCACTGGACTCAGATCTGCGGAATGATAAAAGATACCATTCTTTTATTGTCTACGTCTCCTCCTTTTCCTTCACGTCTCCTTTAAAGTCGTCCAAATACTTTCTACAGTCCTCACATTATTTCCTCTTGTCTCCGTCGTGGTTCTCTTCTGCCCCCAACATGTCCCCTCTTGTCGGGGTAATTACTGTTTGATTTTGCCCCCATCCGGGAAAGCTCTGTGGACATGAGAAAGCTTGTACTAATGTGTGTGTGTGCGTTCATGTGTGTGTGTGTGTGTGCGTGTGTGCGTGTGTGTGTGTGTGTGTTTATGGTGTGGTTTCGCTGCTTTGCTGGAGGTGAGAGGGGCTGAGTTAGTCGTTGTGGGGCTGGATCTCCCTCAGGTTTCAGTCTGAGATGTTTGAATGGACTTGTTTTTATCCCAGAGCAGCCGCAGTCCTGAACTCTCAGCCCATTAGATAAACTTTATTATAATGCAGTGTAAGTTTATGTAAATGCAAAAACATATATATCTCCATTTTGAAATGTTGTCCAAATCTTGTATTCCTCTCGTTACAATCTTCAATGTTCTGTTAATGGCAGTACACTTGAAGGAACCTGTGCAAGAAAGAAAAGAAACTTTAAAATAGATCTTTCTTTTCACAAAACTACTTGATAAAGAGAAAATTATAAGCTTTTCCGATACATTTCCACGGCACGTATCTGTTTTTTACACATAAACTATTCATTGGCCCGTAGGGAATTATGTCCTCTGCATTTGACCCAGATCCTGATGCCACTTGGGCTTCCGTCAGGAGCAGTTGTTGCCGTAGTAACAGCGCCCAGGACATATCTCCAGATGTTGGTACTCGGCTTGGTCTGGACCAGAGCTGGAGGATTTTACCTATTGTACATGTTTTTAGAGAGGAAACTGGAGCACACGGAGAAAACCTATGCAGACACGAGGAGAACATGCAAACGCCACTCAGAAAGACCCTGTTCCGACCACTTTATATATATATATTAGCAATAGCAGCTTTGTACAGTCTCACACACATTCATGTATATTGTCTTATACTTTTACTACTATTGCACTGGTTTGATGCTAAACTGCATTTTGTATCATTGTTCTGACTTCATAATGACAATAAAGTTCTAATTAAAGATATAATCTAAAAAGAGGATTCATTATTTAGCCCAAAGCAATTGGAAAAGCGTCTCCTGTGTTAGAAGTGTTCGTGTTTAGAGACAGAGAGAGGGCAGCGATCTCATGTCTCTCTCTCTGACATTAAGTCCGACAACACTGTCCACACGTTTCAACCAAACTCATCCGAGCGACAGGCGTAACATAGAAAAAACATGTTTACTTCACTGAGAGAAGGAGAGGTTCTGCAGGTCTTCCCTTCCTGCTGCTGTCAGACTGTACAACAAACAATGAGGACTAACAAACACTGTCGACCTGAGCTCACATGTCGAGCATCATGTCAGAATGTGCAGAATAGGACCACATGTGTCACTGCTAAGGCTAATGCTAATGCTAATGCTAATGCTAATGCTAATGCTAATGCTAATGCTTGTTACGGCCCGGCTCGTGGAACCGCAACAAACAACGGAGGACATGACAAATGGAGAGATTTTTAACCCTCGATGGAGCTTTTATTGTGAAGAAAATGACGTAACCTGCACGTATCAGTGTCGGTGACTCGTGTGGGCTGTTTTGCTGTGTCTGCAGTTACAGCCAGAGGAGTTATAGCCACTTATGCTAACATGCTACTGTGTTTAGCAGCGCTGTAGAGGCTAGAGGACGCAGCCTCGTTCTGTGATTGGAGGAGAGCGGGCGTCACGCTAAGTCTCTACTCGGCACTTTTTACGGCCTGAGTTCATACACAGCTGAATCAATGAGCTCAAGTTTTCAATTCAATTACGGATTATAATACAACTTGTGTGTAGTAATAAGCATTTTAATGAACTCATTAGAAAATAAATCGAGTATAGCATCTTTAATCTTCCTCGACCTCACAGATGTTGCAGTTGCAGCGGCCATACAATCTTGAACAAAACCAAATATTTATCCACGTCTTTCTCTGTGAAAGGTTGAATGAATCCAATGCACTTGTCAACGTCAAACTCCGCTTGGGACGGACTATCGCTCTGATTTATTCAAAACTGCGGCGACTCCTTTCTCAAACTCTTTTATTTACTAAACTCCAGCTGCTTTCTGCTCTTTTTTCCAGAAATCTAAGCTCTTTCCCATTCGTTTTCTTTAAGTTCCAACTTTAGCTCTTCCAGCTGCAACTCCATCCTCTGCATCAGACACAGACTCCACTGGAGAGAAAATGCCCTGCGCCACTAACGCTGAATGAACCTGCGTTTTAAGCACTTTCTTCCCATCCTCTTTCAACACGGAAAAGTCATAATGCGCCGCAATCGCCAACAACTCATTCTTGCTATGATCGTCAAGCCTCCCAACAGTGGGATTAGCCCAAGCCCCGGCGATTCAAGATGGCGCCCTATTCAAATGAATGGTTGTGCTCAGTGGCGCTTTGTGACGGCATGGGGGCTGAAAGATTAGCGGAAGTTGCCTGAAACTCTCAAAGATCTATGGGAAACTCTCAAAGATCTATGGGAAACTCTCAAAGATCTATGGGAAACTCTCAAAGATCTATGGGAAACTCTCAAAGATCTCTGGGAAACTCTCAAAGAACTTTGGGAAACTCTCAAAGATCTATGAGAAACTCTCAAAGATCTATGAGAAACTCTCAAAGATCTATGGGAAACTCTCAAAGATCTATGGGAAACTCTCAAAGATCTCTGGGAAACTCTCAAAGAACTTTGGGAAACTCTCAAAGATCTATGGGAAACTCTCAAAGATCTATGGGAAACTCTCAAAGATCTATGAGAAACTCTCAAAGATCTATGAGAAACTCTCAAAGATCTATGGGAAACTCTCAAAGATCTCTGGGAAACTCTCAAAGAACTTTGGGAAACTCTCAAAGATCTATGAGAAACTCGCAAAGATCTATGAGAAACTCTCAAAGATCTATGAGAAACTCTCAAAGATCTATGGGAAACTCTCAAAGATCTATGGGAAACTCTCAAAGATCTATGGGAAACTCTCAAAGATCTATGGGAAACTCTCAAAGATCTATGGGAAACTCGCCTGTATTTGGGCATCGTCTGGTCCTCCCGGTTCTGTGCAGTGGATGATCTCCCATAATGCATTGCGCCAAAAACACGCGTGTGTGGGTCTCACACCGGGTCTCACGCACGTGCACAGAGGGTCTCACGCACGTGCACAGAGGGGCTCGGCTCTGACCAATCAGAGCAGTTCATCAGAGCGGGAGTTAGAGCCAGAGCCAGACGAGCAGAGTTTGTGGCACTAAAGTGTGGATTTAAACAAAACCGAAGGATTTAAGAAGAAAAAAAGTTCAGGACGACAAGGGACACTAACATCCCCCAAAGTCCGACCTTTATGAAAGCTGTAGGTTCTCTGTCAGGTTCTCTGTCAGCTGAGGTTGAGCTGTTTTAATATGCATTGAGTTCTATGGGGAAAATTTCTGGGTAGCCCACGTGAATTTAGTCTGGTTCAGTCTGGTTCAGTCTGCAGTACCGCGACAATCCCCTGAACACATGAGTTCTTCAGCTACAAGCTCTAATACCCTATCCAGTTAATATAATAGATCCATGGATTAGCCGCAAAATCCTCTTCCACAGCCTCCAAACCAAACCAAACAACCACACATGCGCTTCCACAAACCAGACTACTACACTGCGAATCCAAGTGTCACAACCAGTGTCACAACCAGTGTCACAACCAGTGTCACAACCAGTGTCACAACCAGTGTCACAACCAGTGTCACAACCAGTGTCACAACCAGTGTCACAACCAGTGTCACAACCAGTGTCATAACCAGTGTCACAACCAGTGTCATAACCAGTGTCACAACCAGTGTCACAACCAGTGTCACAACCAGCGTCACAACCAGTGCGCAGCAGCGGGCTCACACAACCAGAATCCCCTCTATCCTTTGCCCACCTACCCCAAACCTCACCTGCCTAACTGTGCCTAGCTCCTCTCGTGGTTCAGCAGCGAGAATATCAAGCATGAAACCAGTGGAGCAAACATTTCCGCAGAGTTCCCCCGAGATCAGTGCTCGTGCAGTGATCCACGTTCCACCTCAGGGGCCGTAGCACTAATGCTAATGCTAACATGTACAGACACTACTATATATTTATGTGCGAGAATATAAGGCTTTTATACTTGCTTCTTTATCATTATGTATGTACAGTATGACCCTCACACGGCTCCTCCTGACCCGCCTCTCTCCGTCTTATTAACACAATTTGAACAGATGAAAGAGATTTGAAAATAGTTTAATGTTGTGTATAGCATCACAGGTTTATAATAACAGATAATTGTGGATGGAGCCCAGAGAGTCAGGTAGAATAGAAAGATTTGCATTTGTTTAACAAGTAAAGCATCTATAATTGATGAAGAGATAAAGTTAGTTCTCGCCATTTTAAAACATATTCTTGACCTGAGATCAGCGGCGTCGGTTCCAGCCGTGCTCCGGATCCGGGCCGTGGTGGGAGCAGTGGGGGTGTCTTCCACAGTTCAGCCTCAGTAGTGGGGAGGGGTCTGCTGCTTCCGACAGACACAGACCTTTGCACACGCCGCTCTGATAGTGTATTCTCTTTGAAAGCTCTGCCATCCGTACATGTACCGTATCAGGAGCAGGGCTGGGCCAATTACAGGACACCAGATTGAAATGTGTTCTCAGTGTGCGCTTCTCTGATCATCGATACCTCCTCATGTCGAGTCTGTCTCTCACTGCGCTCGCTTCGGCACTGAGATTAAACTTTGTGAAGTCAAAGTTACGCTTCTTTTATAAGTTAAACGTCTACCGGTACTTAGGAGAAGAGTTTGAAACATAGACTGTGCTTCGAACTTCATCAATTCGATTTTTGATTAAGGATCAGATCAGAGAATCAAACTGTTCGAAATGCAATAATAACAAACACATTAGAGCCATTGGTCCAGAGGGAGCGGGGTTAGGGTTCTTAGACCGTCCTAGACTCAAAAACCCAGTGGGGAAACCTCAGGACCGGCTGTAGATCCAGGACTGAGGCTGTAGATCCAGGACTGAGGCTGTAGATCCAGGACTGAGGCTGTAGATCCAGGACTGAGGCTGTAGATCCAGGACTGAGGCTGTAGATCCAGGACTGAGGCTGTAGACCCAGGACTGAGGCTGTAGATCCAGGACTGAGGCTGTAGATCCAGGACTGAGGCTGTAGATCCAGGACTGAGGCTGTAGATCCAGGACTGAGGCTGTAGATCCAGGACTGAGGCTGTAGATCCAGGACTGAGGCTGTAGATCCAGGACTGAGGCTGTAGACCCAGGACTGAGGCTGTAGATCCAGGACTGAGGCTGTAGACCCAGGACTGAGGCTGTAGATCCAGGACTGAGGCTGTAGATCCAGGACTGAGGCTGTAGATCCAGGACTGAGGCTGTAGACCCAGGACTGAGGCTGTAGACCCAGGACTGAGGCTGTAGACCCAGGACTGAGGCTGTAGATCCAGGACTGAGGCTGTAGATCCAGGACTGAGGCTGTAGACCCAGGACTGAGGCTGTAGGACTCATAGTCCTACAGCCTATAAATAAAGATTTATTATTATTATTATTATAGGCTGTATCCAGAACTCAGGCTGGACCTTAAAAGCGTTTGTCTGATTCTTAATGTCCGGTTATTAGGCGGATTAGACGTGTTTCTCCAGGTGACCGTAGTGAGCGATCGGGGGCATTTATCTCCTCGACTCTTCTCTCTGAGTTTTGCAGGCGCTAACTTTCCATTGTCATAGCAACTCCCGGTCTCTGCCTTTCAACAGCGAGCACACAGACAGCCCCAGAGCGAGACCAGACAGGACCCGAGGACTGAGACCTGAGCTCCAGGATTATGTGAGTCTCAGGCACAGGGAGAACATGCAAATGCCACACAGAAAGAGAGCTGTCGAGGCAATTAGTAGTCAGTTATTTTATGTGTTACATTTGAACCCTTTAATGTTCTCTCTTTGTAGAAATAATTAAATAAGTGAAGTGTTTGCCTAAATATCAAACCGAATCAGAATCACTTTTATTGCCATGTAAGAAACAGGACATTGCTTTGGCTCTCGGTGCAAACAAGTCGAGAGTAGAGAAAACAGAGCAATTATTGTTGTCTTAATTTGGATCACTTTTTGTAGTGGACTGCTGCCTCCGTGACCCGGCAACAGATAAAGCGAAAGAAAATGGAATGGTTTAAAAGGGAGGCAGTCATCAATCACTGAGATGTTCATATCCACGTATCACTTCTATGACATAACTACAGAGTTTAAGGCCCTCTGATAGGTTAGGGTTAGCACGATGACTTAAGCCTGGTTCACACGGCAGGATAATTAGGCCGATTTAAGACCAGATTTACCCTAACGACAATCTTAAGAACGCCCCGATTTTCGTTAAAAAGTCTGATGTATTTTCCATGTGTGGTGAAGGAAGGACTTCGGGACTGCTCTGATCTACAATTGGGGATATCCAACATGTCGGATTGTTTTGGCCCGATTTCTCTTGGTGTGTGGTGTCGGGGACAGACGAGCCAGTGGACTGCGGCGTGTAGCCAATCAGAAGACGAGGTGACGAGGTGGCGAGGAAACACCGGAAAAAAATCATAACAGTCAGCGGCGCACCAGAAAGTCCGGTGAACGTTGTAGATGGAGGACCAACTGGTTCGACCAATGGCAACTATCACTGCTGCATCCTCTACGTCTGCCATGATTGTTTACTCTGAAGTCACGCTTGATCTCCAGAGATTTTGTGAGATTTCCGTCTGACCTGTGAATGCTCGGGGGTGAAATCAGTTTGTGTGTGATGTGTGTGGTTTGCGTGATTTTGCCGTGTGGCTGCGCACCACACTCTGTACGACCAAAGTGGTTAGACCCTTGATTTTTTTTTCTCCGTGTGTGGGGTCTCTCAGGTTAGGAAAATCGGCGGATAATTTTAAAATCGTCTCGTGTGAACCAGGCTTTAGCCATCCCAGGCCACTTTCTCTGGAGCTGCCATACCAGGGGCCTGACATCATGTCTGCATCTGCACTCTGGACCAGGTCTATAACTCTGAGCTCATGAATAAGCTTTTGTTCTGCCTGTAGTGATGTGAGTCCTGCTACACGCCCCAGCGGAGAGGGCCATGACAGGCAGGACGGGCCCCGGGGCAGGATGGGCCCCGCGGCAGGATGGGACAGCCCAGAGCCCCATCCAGGGGTTAAGGAGTGAGAGTCTGTGCAGCTCAGAGACTATTATCTTTGTATTGTTCTTGTCCGCGTCTGAACTGAAGTTTTTTAAATCTGACCTTCTATGCAGAATCTTCTATCTTTTTGTTTATCCTTCCTTTGCTGAAAAGTGCTCATGACGGACCATTAAAGAGCTAAAGCACATTTTTCAAAACAAATAGTTTCAGTCCTGGATCTACAGCCTCCGGAAAAACACTCTCTCTGGTCCCTCCATCTCTGGTCTCGCTCTGGTCTCTCTTTCTGGTTTCTCTCTGGTCTCTCTCTCTGGTCTCTCAATGGTCTCTCTCTCTCTGATCTCTCTCTGATCTCTCTCTAGCCTCTCTCTCTACTCTCTCTCTAGTCTCTCTCTAGTCTCTCTTTCTGGTCTCTCTCTCTGGTCTATCTCTGCTCTCTTTCTCTGGGCTCTCTCTGGTCTCTCTCTAGTCTCTGTCTAGTCTCTCTCTGCTCTCTCTCTCTGGTCTCTCTCTGGTCTCTCTCTAGTCTCTTTCTGCTCTCTCTCTGGTCTATCTTTCTAGTCTCTCTCTGGTCTCTCTCTCTAGTCTCTCTCTCTGGTCTCTCTCTCTAGTCTCTCTCTGGTCTCTCTCTGGTCTCTCTCTGGTCTCTCTCTGCTCTCTCTCTCTGGTCTCTCTCTGGTCTCTCTCTCTCTGGTCTCTCTCTCTAGTCTCTCTCTAGTCTCTCTCTAGTCTCTCTCTGGTCTCTCTCTCTAGTCTCTCTCTGGTCTCTCTCTGGTCTCTCTCTCGCTGGTCTCTCTCTCTCTACACTGTTTGTTGCTGAGTTAAAGGCAGAGCATCCAGGAAAGAGTTAAGTGAACCTGAAAGCAGCGGGAGCGTCTGTGTGCGCTGGAATCCACACACTAATTGCGCAGAGGCAGGTCCAGGCTGGCACCGGGCTCTCCATAACCCCCGGACCTCCCGACAGCCCACCGTCAGCCCGGTCGTCTCCTGCGGCTGCTATCAAAGCCACATCGGAGCCTCCCTCTCACTAATAACACCAGAGCAGCTGTGCCAGAGCCTTGTTTTGGGAAAGTGCAGATCCTGAGATAGCGCCCGCAGTGAAGGAAGTGCACAGATCGTCGTTACGGATCCGTCAGATGTCTGCGATTACAGCTTTGGCTTCGTTTGACACATTTGACACATTTTACACATTATCGCATCTTCTCATAAGCATTCTCTGATAATATTGCAACTCTGCCTGTTCAGAAAACGTGACAGAAGATAACAGCTCCACACTGTCTTTCTCTAAATCATAGACTGTATTAACCTGGTAAGAGCCAGATTGATGATTGTGTTTATAATGCGTTCTCCACAATATCAATCTGGGACTTCTGCAGGAGAATCTTTTCGGGGAAAGGAGGGATAAGCAGCAGAATACTTCAAGCTGATTGGGCGAAGTGACGCTGTGTGCCCGCCTACCAAGGTTTGACTTAAACCAATCCCGGTAGAATCTTTGCCGTCCAGAAATGCAAATAGCGCCTCTCGCTGTTCATCTTTCAAAATAGAAATTGGAGATTCTGCTAAAACTGACTTGATAGCCTCAGCTACGCGTCCGTCCTCCTGCGTAGCCATGTTTGTTTTGCTTCGGCCCGGCACTTCAAACCCGGATATGCCGCCCTAAACCCCCAGACTGGCGCGTGATTGGCTTGAACACCTGGATGTTCAACTCGAAAAGGGTCGGCGGGAGCGGGGCAAGATGTATTCTCGAGTGTTTGTGAACTCACAAATACCGCGAGAATTCAGCTTGCAGGCAAGACTGTGGTATGCAAAAGTTTAGGCACCCCTATCAATCAAGGTGTTTTCATGCGTATATTTATTTAAAAAAATGCTCAACTTACAAACAATTATTCACCAAAAAATATGATAATAAGTAAGTACAGTGCCTTGCGAAAGTATTCGGCCCCCTTGAACCTTTCAACATTTCGCCACATTTCAGGCTTCAAACATAAAGATATAAAATTTAAATTTTTTGTCATGAATCAACAACAAGTGGGACACAATCGTGAAGTGGAACAACATTTATTGGATAATTTAAACTTTTTTAACAAATAAAAAACTGAAAAGTGGGGCGTGCAATATTATTGGGCCCCTTTACTTTCAGTGCAGCAAACTCAGTCCAGAAGTTCAGTGAGGATCTTTGAATGATCCAATGTTGTCCTAAATGACTGATGATGATAAATAGAATGCACCTGTGTGTAATCAAGTCTCCGTATAAATGCACCTGCTCTTTGATAGTCTCAGGGTTCTGTTTAAAGCGCAGAGAGAACCATGAAGACAAAGGAACACACCAGGCAGGTCCGAGATACTGTTGTGGAGAAGTTTAAAGCCGGATTTGGATACAAAAAGATTTCCCAAGCTTTAAACATCTCAAGGAGCACTGTGCAAGCAATTATATTGAAATGGAAGGAGTATCAGACCACTGCAAATCTACCAAGACCCGGCCGTCCCTCCAAACTTTCATCTCAAACAAGGAGAAGACTGATCAGAGATGCAGCCAAGAGGCCCATGATCACTCTGGATGAACTGCAGATAACTACAGCTGAGGTGGGGATGGTGTGTTCAGGGTGATGAGCTGTGTTGCTTTTACGCCAAACATATCGTTTTGCATTGTGGCCAAAACGTTCCATTTTGGTTTCATCTGACCAGAGCACCTTCTTCCACATGTTTGGTGTGTCTCCCAGGTGGCTTGTGGCAAACTTTAAACAAGACTTTTTGGATATCTTTGAGAAATGGCTTTCTTCTTGCCACTCTTCCATAAAGGCCAGATTTGTGAAGTGCACGACTGATTGTTGTCCTATGGACTCTCCCACCTCAGCTGTAGTTATCTGCAGTGCCTTGTTGAATACTTTCGCAAGGCACTGTATGTAATGTTTTTTTATATAGAGCATTTTACGGACCATAATAAGAAAAAACTAAAAAACACGTGCATGGTTTGAAAAGGGGTTGGTCGAAGCAAAAAGGTTATTTTAATCAAATCTCTTCCATTTCCTCTTTTTAAAGGGTGCCTACATTTATGCACATGCCTAGATCGATGTATTCGGGGAAATCAAAGAATTCATACACGTTTTACTTTACTTAAATGATACTTTTTATTTTTTCATAGCGTCAACCATTTTTTCTTTATATTTATTTTTTATTTTATAGTTTCAGAATTATGGTATTTCTGGATTTCTTTTGACAGGTTTTACAATACAAGAGCAAACATACAAACACAGAGAGAGGTCGGCCGTAGAGGTGACAAAGCTGCTCTATGGCTGTGCAAAAAAACCATTGTAGATTCAGGGCTGAGGCAGTGGGTAAATAGCAATGAACAGACTACAGCTGAACTCATGACGATGACGTACGAAGTAGAAAGAGGATAGTGCTCTTACTTCTCCAGTAAAGTGTCTCCATTTGCAGCTTGTCTGTAAACTCCAGCGACATCAGCGAAGGCACGGCTTTTGACAGCTGAGCGCTCTGGTCTCCTCAAACATTTCGTATTTAATTGACAGGAATATTGCAAGTCAGTCCCAAGCTTGTAACTGATGCGATGCAAAAATAATTTTTAGATATTGCTAATTTTCAACTCCACTCCTTCTGTAAACCCTAACTTCAGATATCAAAGTTTTTTTAAATAGATTTTTCCCAGTAAGTAAATATTACTCATTTATTGCCGGTTTATTTAAAGCTTGGCGATATAGCTCAGGGTTTTCTTTGAATTGAACTGTCTCTGTTCAAGTAAGCCTCACTTTTTGACGTGTAGACTCTTTAATAAGGCAGGTGTGTAGATGACAGGGTGGTCCGGTGGCTGAGTGGGCAGCACCTTCACCTCTCAACCAGGTTCTAAGTATTACTGTAATCGCGGTTGGAGCATAAGCTGAAATTTTAACTTATAATATCAAGTAAAGGATGTACTCGAGAAATTCAAGTGGAATGAATATGCAATTTATTTCCAAGGTTTTTTCAAGTAAACTTTACTTTAGGGTTTACAGTGCGGGCCTTTCTACATTCACATTTTCAACATTATCTGCTTTCATCTGTGTGAATGTGGTGAAGTGATGAAGGCGGTAGCACAGACTCCAGAGTGAGCGCTGAATGAGTTGTGTGGCTTCGGGAGAGTGTGTTCCAGGTGTCAGTCTGAGCTGTGATCGGGTTCATGGACCTCGGGGCAAAGATGGCGTCTTCTCCGGACATGTTGCTAATAGGAGTTTTCCACATTTTGCTGCTGATCCCGAACAGGAAGCTGGAAAGTGTTGTTGAAAGCCATAATTAGGGCGATGACAAGCTGCTGCTGCTCCGTTTGGAACTTTTGCTCCTTCTTCCTGTAATCAGTAGTAATCTTAGGGAAAACGTGCCAATTACAGATCATACTTTGTAAATACAGATCACTACTATTTAGGACTCTCACATCACACTTCAAACGAGGGAGCTGTGAGTAATTCTGAAAACCTGAACATGTGCCGTGATCTGGGAGATGCTCCAAGATATAATGGTTTGTATGTTTGATATGAGATTATTTTAGGGTCGTAACAAATCATGGCCACTAGAGGACACTAAATACAGCGACAGAGAAGCGACGGGTTAAAGACGTCACAGATAAGGATGCACCGATACCACTTTTGTCAAAACCGATACGATTACCTTAATGTGAGTACTTGCCGATAATGCACTGAATGTATTCTTTGTTCACCGTGAGGCCCTTGACAAAACCCCGGCTCAGTTTCAGTTTCAGTTTATGAAACTCGTCAGCAGCTCCTCCTGAAGACCAGTTTCTGTGTTATTGTACCTTGGTATTCTTTATGTACTTTTTTGAGACCTGGCCACAGTGATTCATGGAAGTCTGTGTCTTTGCCCCTAAACGGTTTGATGTTTTCAATGTTTTCTAGATCCACTGGTTGATAAAGGCTGTAGCAGAGAGCGTGTTCTTTGGGGAAAGCAGTCTTTGTAAGTCTCTGGGATCAACATGTGTCAAAGAAAATGCACTGTAAATATTTGTTTATACTTTTTTTTATTGCATTGAGCGTTTCAAATTGGGCATTTGTCTTTTCACTCCACACAGAGAAGCGCATGCCAGACATATTGTGCATGTTTTTAGTGGTAGGGGAAACCGGAGCACCCGGAGGAAACCTACGCAGACACGGGGAGAACATGCAAACTCCACTCAGAAAGGCCCTGACTGGGAGTTGAACCCAGGACCTTCTTGCTGAGAAGCGAGAGTGCTAACCACTCAGCCACCGTGCCGCCCGTTGTAAGAGTTTAAAGAAGTAGGTTAGATGTTTTTCTGTTAATGTGTTCCGAGTGCAGAGCCTCGAGCCTCTTCAGAACTGTCACCCGGCTTGGTCACGTGTCAATCATCAGCTGATGTCACTTCCTGAGTGGGCGGGGTCAGCCTGATTGACTGACAGGTCGCTCTGACTGACCACGCCCCCTCTCGCCGGGTGGTCTCTGGAGGAGGGTGTCCCATGTGTGCGACAGGAGGAAGGCTCCCTCATCTCGGTTGGTGCTGTTGATCCAGCGTTCGACCCGTGCCTCGTCCCAATCCATGATGTGTCTCCTGCAGAGATCTGAAACAGCGCCCTCTGGTGTTTGGGAATGTATCTGCTGCTGTGTGTTTGTGCTTCATCTTTCACCTGTCTCTCTTTTCTCTTTGGCCCAATGACACTCTTTTAGCTGTCATTTCGGCTCTTGACAATCATTAAGCTGTCAGTCCCCGAACTGGGCCTCAGAAAAAAGGAAACAGGTGAACGATAAAGCACAAAAACACAAGAGAAACCGACCACCAGAGGGCAGCAGGAGCACAGTCACATTAGCAAACACCAGAGGGCGCTGTTTCAGATCTTTGCAGGAGACACATCATGGATTGGGGCGAGGCACGGGTCGAACGCTGGATCAACAGCACCAACCGAGATGAAGGAGCCTTCCTCCTGTCGCACACATGGGACACCCTGCTCCAGAGACCACCGGGCGAGAGGGGGCGTGGTCAGTCAGAACGACCTGTCAATCCACCAGGCTGACCCCACCTACTCAGGAAGTAACATCAGCTGATGAGTGACACGTGACCAAGGCGGGTGACAGTTCTGACGACGCTCGAGGCTCTGTAACCAAAACATACAAACAACGTCTAACATCTAACTCTAAAATCTAACTCTTACATCTAACTAATTGATTGCCAGACCTATTTCAAATCAGGGAAGTGCATTCTGCCAGAGTTTTCAGGGGATTTCACCTAACTTTGAAGAGCCACAGAATATTCAGTTATTTCACTATATACACAGCAATGGTACCAAATGAAAGCTAAGAGCCTAATCTTTTATCTGCAAAAAACTGTTTGTTTTTACCTCTTACCGTTTTTGAGAAATCTGTCATAGAACATAGTATAGTTTCTCTCAAAACACCAGTTGCAGACTAGAAAACTGAGAAAACTAGCTTTTTGTAAATTGTAACATACAAAGCAGAAAAGTGATTTGTAGCTGATAGTTTTTTTTTTAGTAACACCTCAAACATCTAAACACTTGTTCCATTCAATAAATTACAAAAATATGACTCGGAAATATTACTTTTGATGGAAAAACAACAATGATTTATTGTTGCCGGTCCACATCAGGTATTTTGAGAGCTGTTCCGTTGACATGGAGCCAGTGTCTCAACGGGACTCCTCTGCGGACAGGAGTTAGGTGGAATCGGCGGCGGGACTTCGGGGCCGGTGTGGTCGGGGGCCGTGGGACAAACACCGGACTGATTGGAGCAGGAGCAACTCTCCGGTGGTGGCGGGAGCTTTGGAATCTCCGGAGAGTCTGCATCAGGCCCTCCATGAGCTGATGCAGCATGTGTCCGACCGCTCTCCTGCCTGTGGAGACAGACACATGTTATTACAGTCAATATGTTCTTTACAAGAGAAACACAGAAAAGTAAAAGACCAACTTACGTGGGACTGTCAGGTGAAGGCTGCGTCTCTGAATCCGCTTGAATTCCTCCATCACTTCCTCCACCTGTTTCCTGGCAGTGAACACCTTCTGCCCGTCTGCCACACGTTTAACTGTGAGAGGAACAAAAACACGTGGTTATGGAATTAATTCAAGAAAATAGACTTTGGTAACATTTAGTCACAGAAATATGTCATTAATGTTAGAGTTAAGAATCTAAAACATCAGTAGACAATTTGGAATCTGTAGGACTGTCTCTGAGTCTGTAGGACTGTCTCTGTGTGATGTGGTTGTTGTCGTTAGTTATGAATCATCAAAACCGTTGTAACTTACCTTCTCTGTCTGTGATGAGTCTGGGAATGAAAGATCCCCTTCCTTGAGGGAGACGTGTTTTGTGAGGAGGTGGACTTGGGGTCGAGGGCGGCAGTCTCCTCAGCTCCTCTGGGGTCTTGCTGTCGGGTCTAAGGCTCTCAGACACAGTGCGGCGTGGAGGTAGTAGAGGTAATTGATATTTTTGGGCCCAGGACAGTGACAGTAGTCCCCTCAGCTCCTCTGGGGTGCAGCTGTCTGCTGATGAACTGCTGCCTGCTGATGAACTGCTGCTGTGACTAGTCCATGACGCCCTCAGCTCCTCTGGGGTGCGGCTGCCTGCTGATGAACTGCTGCTGTGACTAGTCCATGACGCCCTCAGCTCCTCTGGGGTGCGGCTGCCTGCTGATGAACTGCTGCCTGCTGATGAACTGCTGCTGTGACTAGTCCATGACGCCCTCAGCTCCTCTGGGGTGCAGCTGCCTGCTGATGAACTGCTGCCTGCTGATGAACTGCTGCTGTGACTAGTCCATGACGCCCTCAGCTCCTCTGGGGTGCGGCTGCCTGCTGATGAACTGCTGCCTGCTGATGAACTGCTGCTGTGACGAGTCCATGACGCCCTCAGCTCCTCTGGGGTGCGGCTGCCTGCTGATGAACTGCTGCCTGCTGATGAACTGCTGCCTGCTGATGAACTGCTGCCTGCTGATGAACTGCTGCTGTGACGAGTCCATGACACGCTCAGCTCGTCCGAACAGCAGCTGTCGTACCCATCACTGCGTTTGTGGAGGTAAAAAGTGTAAAGTTAGTTTTTTCTTCTACAGCAGACCATAGTAGTAGGTTAGTGATGTCATTACCTTGGTGTTGGTGATGGTGGAGGGCTGAAGGGACGTGTCCAGGGGGAGTGTCTGGACACCTCTGAGCTGCAGCTGTCGACAGACCTCTCCCTCGTCCTGTGCATCACTGCGTCGGCTCGTGCCCTTTGTTGATCCAGCAGCTGATCGGCCTGACGACGCACCCGAGCCATGTGCAGGTCCTGGGCCTTCTGCACCTCCATGACCCTGGCAGCCTGTGGACAGTCACAGTTAGTACAGACTGTGCAGTAGAGCAGTGGTTCACAACCTTTTTACATAACGTTACACATGATATTTATGATGTTGATACAATGATACATTTAGACACAATGTGAAGGGGTTTTGGGATATCCATAAAAGTACATAAACCGAGGCTGCACCTCCGCCTCCCAAATGTTGATCTAAATCCATCCATCCTTTACCCTCAGCTGTTCTGAAACGAACCAAACCTGACCCTGACTCGAGTCTAGTTTGAGCGATGTTAGCACTTTACCGGATCATGAACCCTTCACAATAATGCAATAACTAATCATTTAACAAACAATATATAAAACAGCAGCTTGGATTAGAAAGCAGATGGATGGAGACTCAATTTGAAAAACAAGATTGATGAAAATGCTCTTTACTTTTCTAAAAACACAACTATTGAACTATTGCTTGATCCTCAGTGGAATGTGTTTCCTTCAGAACAGTTCCATTTCCAGGATGTAAAACAGATATTAATGTATTTGACCAAAACAACCAAAGTGTGAAGATGCAGTTACCTGGGCGTCGCGGTACGCTTTCTCCAAGTCCCTTTGTTGGGAGAGAACACGGTTCTGAAGCTCGTTCCAGTCCATCTTAACGTGACAATAAGATACTCTGACAGTCTGACTGACTTTCACTCACAGACTCAGATGGACTTATGGAACTGCGTGGTTACCATGGAAATTCTAGGTTACCTTGTTCCGGAATATCACGATGGAATTGCACTATCACCGTGACGACCTGCTATGTCCCTAACCCTGCTATGTCCATATAAGGGCATCTCGAGACTGTTATGAACTAGATCCTGAATAAATACATTGACCTTGGACAGAAGTGGACAAACACAGAACCTTCAGGACCAAAGCTTTAAAGTGCATATGACAGATACAATAAATCATTTGATTTCCCTCTCATATAATTCCTTCATCCCCATGAAAATGATGGGCGGCACGGTGGCAGAGTGGATAGCACTCTCGCCTCTCAGCAAGAAGGTCCTGGGTTCGAATCCCGGTCGGACCAGGGCCTTTCTGAGTGGAGTTTGCATGTTCTCCCCGTGTCTGCGTAGGTTTCCTCCGGGTACTCCGGTTTCCCCTACCACTAAAAATATGTCCAATAGTTCTAGCATGCGCCTCCTGTACTGGCCCCGCTCCCATCTCTGTGTGGAGTGAGAGACAAATGCCCAAAAAAACCTATCCTCTATCCTGGGTCTACAGCCTCAGTCTTGGGTCTGCAGCCTCAGTCTTGGGTCTGCAGCCTCAGTCTTGGGTCTACAGCCTCAGTCCTGGGTCTACAGCCTCTATCCTGGGTCTACAGCCTCTATCCTGGGTCTACAGCCTCAGTCTTGGGTCTGCAGCCTCAGTCTTGGGTCTACAGCCTCAGTCTTGGGTCTGCAGCCTCAGTCTTGGGTCTGCAGCCTCAGTCTTGGGTCTACAGCCTCAGTCCTGGGTCTACAGCCTCAGTCCTGGGTCTACAGCCTCAGTCCTGGGTCTACAGCCTCAGTCCTCGGTCTATAGCCTCAGTCCTGGATCTACAGCCTCAGTCCTCGGTCTACAGCCTCAGTCCTTGGTCTATAGCCTCAGTCCTGGATCTACAGCCTCAGTCCTGGGTCTACAGCCTCTATCCTGGGTCTACAGCCTCTATCCTGGGTCTACAGCCTCAGTCTTGGGTCTGCAGCCTCAGTCTTGGGTCTGCAGCCTCAGTCTTGGGTCTACAGCCTCAGTCCTGGGTCTACAGCCTCAGTCCTGGGTCTACAGCCTCAGTCCTGGGTCTACAGCCTCTATCCTGGGTCTACAGCCTCAGTCCTGGGTCTACAGCCTCAGTCCTGGGTCTACAGCCTCTATCCTGGGTCTACAGCCTCAGTCCTGGGTCTACAGCCTCAGTCCTGGGTCTACAGCCTCTATCCTGGGTCTACAGCCTCAGTCCTGGATCTACAGCCTCAGTCCTCGGTCTATAGCCTCAGTCCTGGATCTACAGCCTCAGTCCTGGATCTACAGCCTCAGTCCTCGGTCTATAGCCTCAGTCCTGGATCTACAGCCTCAGTCCTGGATCTACAGCCTCAGTCCTGGGTCTACAGTGGGACAGTGCACTTGGTTGGTTTCATTCTTATCTTTTAGAAAGAACCTTTGCGGTCACCATGGGTGATTTTACCTCCTCAACAGCCCCCATCACCTGTGGTGTGCCGCAAGGTTCTATTTTAGGCCCCATTTTATTCTCTATTTATATGCTCCCCCTAGGACACGTTATGGCCCGTCATAACGTGTCCTTCCACTGCTATGCGGACGACACACAGATCTACCTCCCGCTGAGACCAAACGACCCTGGAAGTCTGGCTGCTGTGGTCGACTGTTTTAACGATGTGAACCGTTGGATGGCCCATAACTTCCTTCAACTCAACACCTCCAAATCAGAAGTCCTCCTCATCAACCCGCCTCCATCCATATCCCACATCCAAACCCACCTCGGCCCCCTGTCCTCAAACATCACTCCCTCCGCCCGTAACCTCGGTGTCATTTTTGATTCTCACCTCACCTTCCGCTCCCACATCAATAAAACCACCCAATCCTGCTTCTATCACCTCCGCACCATCTCTAAGATTAAAAACATTCTCACTCCTCCCGATCTCCATAAAGTCGTCAACGCCCTCATCTTCTCCCGCCTCGATTACTGTAACTCCCTCCTCTCCGGTCTTGATGCTAAATCCCTCTCCCGCCTCCAACTGGTCCAGAACGCAGCAGCCAGACTTCTCACTGGTTTTAACAGAAGGGAGCACATCACCCCTGTTTTAGCGTCCCTCCACTGGCTCCCTGTGCGATTTAGAATTGATTTCAAGATTTTACTGATTACTTTTAAAGCTCGTTTAGGTCTGGCACCAAGCTATATTTATGAACTTTTAACCCCCTACGAGCCCCCCCGCAGCCTTAGATCCTCGGGCAGGTCCTTGCTGACCATTCCAAGGTCGAGGCTCCGGACGAAAGGTGATCGAGCCTTTTCTGTCCGGGCTCCTCGGCTTTGGAACGACCTGCCCGAGGAGATAAGGCTAGCACCATCAGTATCCTCTTTTAAATCTCTTCTTAAAACCCACTTTTATAAAACAGCTTTTAATTGTCAGCTTTAAACTTATAATGTTGTATTTTACTGTCTGTCCTGTCTGTTTTGTGGTCTTGTGTTTCCTCTGTTTGTCTTGTCTTCTTACATTCATTCTTATTTGTTTTAACTTTGTATTATGACTGATGTATTGTTTATTATGCTGTGCAGCACTTTGTAAACATTGTTTTTAAAAAGTGCTTTATAAATAAAGATTTATTATTATTATTATTATTATAAAAGTTCTCATTAAATAATAAATTACACAATTCGTTTGTAAAATACCTCAAATAGACATCTATTTGTGATACTTCCGCAAAATCCTTAGTCACGTGACGTGACGTAGCGTAAGGGAGTTTGAACTTGCCTCACTCTAGTTATTGCTATCACCCCTAGTAGCTGGTATCGGATTTTCTGTCAATTTGTCGTTTATTTTAGTGAATATGGTGAACTATTGTGTGTGTGGAGGGTGCACGAATTCTTCATCTTCCGGATTCAGGGTACATTATTTTCCCAAAGGAAAAAAAAAGTCTTCTCTTTTCCGTGCCTGGGTGAATTTTGTACAGACGAAGAGGAAGGACTTTACCGCGGCCTCTGTGACCACAGCTCTGTCATCTGTGACCACAGCTCTGTCATCTGTGACCACAGCTCTGTCCTCTGTGACCACAGCTCTGTCATCTGTGACCACAGCTCTGTCATCTGTGACCACAGCTCTGTCATCTGTGACCACAGCTCTGTCCTCTGTGACCACAGCTCTGTCATCTGTGACCACAGCTCTGTCCTCTGTGACCACAGCTCTGTCATCTGTGACCACAGCTCTGTCCTCTGTGACCACAGCTCTGTCATCTGTGACCACAGCTCTGTCCTCTGTGACCACAGCTCTGTGACCACAGCTCTGTGACCACAGCTCTGTCCTCTGTGACCACAGCTCTGTGACCACAGCTCTGTGACCACAGCTCTGTCATCTGTGACCACAGCTCTGTCCTCTGTGACCACAGCTCTGTCCTCTGTGACCACAGCTCTGTCCTCTGTGACCACAGCTCTGTCCTCTGTGACCACAGCTCTGTGACCACAGCTCTGTCCTCTGTGACCACAGCTCTGTCCTCTGTGACCACAGCTCTGTCCTCTGTGACCACAGCTCTGTCCTCTGTGACCACAGCTCTGTGACCACAGCTCTGTCCTCTGTGACCACAGCTCTGTCCTGTGACTCTGTGACCACAGCTCTGTCCTCTGTGACCACAGCTCTGTGACCACAGCTCTGTGACCACAGCTCTGTGACCACAGCTCTGTCCTCTGTGACCACAGCTCTGTGACCACAGCTCTGTCCTCTGTGACCACAGCTCTGTGACCACAGCTCTGTGACCACAGCTCTGTGACCACAGCTCTGTCCTCTGTGACCACAGCTCTGTGACCACAGCTCTGTCATCTGTGACCACAGCTCTGTGACCACAGCTCTGTCCTCTGTGACCACAGCTCTGTCCTCTGTGACCACAGCTCTGTCATCTGTGACCACAGCTCTGTCATCTGTGACCACAGCTCTGTCATCTGTGACCACAGCTCTGTCCTCTGTGACCACAGCTCTGTGACCACAGCTCTGTGACCACAGCTCTGTCCTCTGTGACCACAGCTCTGTGACCACAGCTCTGTGACCACAGCTCTGTGACCACAGCTCTGTCCTCTGTGACCACAGCTCTGTCCTCTGTGACCACAGCTCTGTCCTGTGACCACAGCTCTGTGACCACAGCTCTGTCCTCTGTGACCACAGCTCTGTGACCACAGCTCTGTGACCACAGCTCTGTGACCACAGCTCTGTCCTCTGTGACCACAGCTCTGTGACCACAGCTCTGTGACCACAGCTCTGTGACCACAGCTCTGTCATCTGTGACCACAGCTCTGTGACCACAGCTCTGTGACCACAGCTCTGTGACCACAGCTCTGTGACCACAGCTCTGTCCTCTGTGACCACAGCTCTGTGACCACAGCTCTGTGACCACAGCTCTGTCCTCTGTGACCACAGCTCTGTGACCACAGCTCTGTCATCTGTGACCACAGCTCTGTGACCACAGCTCTGTCCTCTGTGAAGCCCATTTCAAGAAAGAGGACTATCTAAGTGGAGATCTGATGGAAATGGAGATGGGCTTCAAAAGTCGAAACAATGTGAGGCTGACGGAAGGAGCCGTGCCCAGTGTACAGTCTTTATCTTTGTCTGCTGCTAGTGCGGCTGCTAGCGCGGCTGCTAGTGCTAACACGGGTAATGTAGGTGCTGGTACAGAAAGATCTTCATCAGCTTCAACAAAACGCTGGTTATTTTCAGTAAGTAACAGTTACCGTTGTTTCTATTTAAATGTATTAGCTACATAAGCGCTATTGTGTTGGATACATATGTTAGCTACTCGAGTTCAACTAGCAAGCATATAGCATAAGCTAGCATTATGTGAATGAATGTACTGCATGTTTGTAACACGTTTCAACAAATTAACTTGTGTAAACAACATTTCCAATACTAAACCATAATTTTCTATTTGTATCTGTGTTAGTCATTTAAAATCCATTGTGTTTAAAAACGTCACAGTTGAACTCGTAAGTTACTGAAGTGGTGGGACTAATTTGTCAGCTGGTATTTCCCAATTTCTAACTGGGAGTGCTGTTCCATTTCAGTAATTTACAAGTTGAATTGTGACATTTTTGAACCAAGAAAATTGTCTAAACTTTTACAAATGAGCAGCATAACGCAACATTCAATTATAACCAAGTTTGCGGTTTAGTATTTGTCCTGTTTTGCTCATATAAGGCAATTTGTTGGAAATTACAATTTTTCGAAGCTTGTTTAGCTTCATACAAGCTGCTGACAGATGATGTGTAGTAAATGTTTTTGTGCGTTTCAGATTTTGAGTGAAGATGATGAAGCTCTTACAAAAGAAATCATGAATGAACCCGATGACTTTACCACTGATTCTTTGCCAAGAACTATCGATCAGGCTCTACAGTGCAACATAAGACTTCCTTATTGTTCATCCGGTAATGTTTGTTTCCCAACATAGATTGAAATAGTATCTAAAAGTTACTAACACATGTCACACTCACTTTGTAGAACTTAATTATAATATAAAATGGAAAACATTTTTCCCCCCCGATTCAGAAAGTTTTCCCTTATGTTCAAGGTGTCCAGGTGAAGCCTACATTGATAAGTATTGGCACTCAAACTGAAGAGGATATTCATTCCACTACAACGGCCATCAATCATGTGACCTCTACACCTGTGAAGAATGATGAGGAGGATGAGCAGTCCTTTGATTTTGATAGTCATCAGTGGGACAGCTCTTGGAGCATTGAGGAGGAGGAAATGGACACTGATACATCGGAGGAAGAGGCACAGGACGAAGAACAGAGAAATACAAAGTAAGTGATCATTGTTGTATAATTGGACTGTTCTAATGGGGAAGTAAATGTATTGACTTTACTTTTCAATAGATTTGCAGACAAATTTATAGTTTGTGAATCACAATTGCTGTCCTTGTTTGCCGTTTGTCCACAATGTTCTGAGGAAACCCAGCGAAAAGTAAAACACCAACAGGGAACCTTTATTAAAGTGGAACAGGCAAGATTGTCTTTACCATGAGTAACTCTGTTCTCACTGTTGGCTGTTTTTATTGCATAACTTAATGAATTCATTTTCTTACAGATTTGCTCTGCTTGTGGTTTTGAACGGGAATGGCAGAACCAACCAAAGATGCACAAATATATGCCTTTGTGCAACTTGATGCTTAGTGGGGCTATCCACTTTTCAGGGTGCATGCCAACACAGGCTTTGAGGATGCTTGGCCTGCTTGGAGTGCAATGTATAAGTGTTAGGACATTCTTTCGACACCAGCAACTATACACGATCCCCACCATCATTGGAACGTGGAAGAACAAACAAGCACAAATTCTGAACCAACTGAAGGCCAAAGAGGGAGGGCTTATTCTTGCTGGCGACTGCAGGTGAGTTGAAGATGAATAACTGTACGGTATGAATAATTATAACAATGTATAAACAAACAAACATTTGAACAGATCTGATTCACCGGGGCATTGTGCTAAATTTGGAACATACACCGTAATTGAGGAGAGGATAAACAAAGTTTTGGACCTTCAACTTGTTCAGGTATGGCAATACTGTGGCTGAGTCACATGTTTCAATTTCAATATGGCCTATCTGCACGGTGATCACATGATTATCTACGTGTCTGGGTGGATTTTCTCCGGGCACGGTTTCTACTACCACACAATAACATGCACCATAAGTAATCCCATGTGTTGACCAAGCCAACTATCTGCAGAGGTGGAGATGGAAAAATATGAATGCATTACATACATTTTCAAACCAGCCATGATTAGTTGTTAATGTCAATATCCATCCATCCATCCATTTTCTTCCCCTTAATCCATTTCTGGGTCGGGGGGGTGGCAGTCAGAGCTACACCCAGTCACAGAGCACCAGCCCCTCACTGATCCTCCTGCAGGTGGTGAGTCCACAGGAGCTGAGATCTTTCAGTTGGGAGCTTCAGGCAAAGTGGGGTTAAGTGTCTTGCCCAAGGACACAATGACAGCAGTCATCAGTGGGAGTCGTGAAGTAGGTCTTATGGTGGGCTTGAACCCACAACCTTCAGGCCCAAAGGCCAATGCTCTACCAACTGAGCTACTGTCGCTACTGTCAATATAGAATTTAATATTAAATACCATCATGTATAAGGCATAAGGAATTCTGTATTTAAAAGGTTCATAGTTAGTCGTGCCTTGTACACAAAGTTTGGGATGAGAATAATCCTGTTTTTGTGTGCCTCTCAAAGAGCTCGGAAGTACCCAATAGTAATTGGTGTGAATTGGAGGGACTAAAGCGGACCATCAACCTTCTTTCTAAGGAGAAAATTAGTGTCTCTACGCTTGTGACTGATCGAAATCGCCAGGTAAATGAATGTGGATAACTTTTAATAATATCTTCAGTCACAGTCATTTATATCAAAGACTTTTGTTACTCAAAAGGTGGCCAAGTGGGTGCGTGAGAAGGGTTCACGTCCAGAAGGCACAAAACATTTCTTCGATATTTGGCATGTTAGTAAAGGTAACTATGAAAGCACTCTTATACCTCCGCCATTTGGTGAGTTATGGCACAAACAAAGTTAGTTTCACCTCAAAAATGGATTGTTGATTGGCCCATAGTTCATGTTTCCTAAAAACTTCAAATCCACCCATAACCGGAGTTGTGTCATAAGCAAATGGACAAATTCTTCCAATCACAAATGGTGGTAATAATGATCTAATTATAAATTGTCTTGGGACCGTCTGAAATATTTTTGCTTTTATAATTCATGTTCTGGTTTTTCAGGTTTAAAGAAGGCTTTGGATGCTGCCTCTAAAGAGCAACACTGTGAGGATCTCGCCCTCTGGAAAGCTGCAGTTATAAACCATCTTTACTGGACTGCTGCATCCACACCTGATGGCAATCCTGAAGTGTTGGAGGCAAAGTGGACTAGTTTGGTGAACCATGTCCAGGACATCCACACTCACAAGAGCCCCTGGTTTCCAGTCTGTGCTCATCCTCCTCTGGAAGGAGAAACCAGAGAGAAGCAGTGGCTGGAACCAGGTGATTTATTATTATTGTTGTTGTTAATATTACAAAAGTGAACATGTGTGCTAACCATCCCTCGCGTGGAGAAAGTCCCCACAGAAAGATGCTGTGAAGCCTGAGTGTTAGCCTGCCTGCCGCCATATATTATTCTAGGAAAGCATACAATTTTTTTTGAACTTGCACTGACAAAATAAATTGATCACAGGATCCCTGGTATCCATAAAGCTGGAGAGCATGGCGATGCGGCCGATGTTTGTTAAAGATGTGCGACAACTGTCGCCCTCACATCAGACCTATTCACTTGAGGCGTTCCATGCGCTCATTCTCCACTTTGCACCGAAACACACTGGGTTCTCCTTCCTGGGCATGTATAGCAGGTAAATATTGGCAAATTTTTTAAACTGCTGTTTTACTGTTCTATTTTATAACAACAATTTTGCGAATTCCCATTAGGCTTCTTCTTGCTGCCCTTCACTTCAACCATAACAGCAACAGAGAAGTTCTGCGATCTGACGGTGAGGTCCGCCATCAAGTACGGTACCCACGGTTTATGAAGGGTACTGCAGTGGTCCGTCCAATGAAGGAGACTCCGTCATATGGTTTGCATCAAGCGTAACTAAGAATAAAATGGATTGTACTGTTGGTATATGCATCTAATTTATGTATGTATCCATTAGAATATGCGTTTGATCTTATGGAGCATCTGCATCGAACCTACAGCAGCACTCCGGAGGAGTTGAGACAAAGCAGTGCTCTCCTGGCATCCTCCGCGCCGCAGCCTCTTACAGCATCATTTCAGAAAGTTCCAAAGGAGGAGGCAGTCAGACAATATAAAGCGCTTCATTCTAGATTTTCTTCCCAGTGAATACTAATTGCTAATTTCCACCACTGAGCGGGAAATCCAGAGCTCTGACTGCAGACACTGCTCCCTCTTCACCACAATAGTCAGACACAGCGACCATGTCATAAAGTGTGAATGAATAAGACCACTTACAGTCTTCAGCTTATTAGAGAACTTGCCCATTGAAATGTTAGTAAGAGTGAGAAATATTCGGCATGTTTTTCTTTTTTTTCTGGTTTGAAAATGCACAGGTTAATTGTAATATTAATATCAAATTACTTGTTAAGTGTTATGAGTGTTTTGTAAGTTGTAATGTAAACTCCAATACTTTGGATTTTAATAGTACAATATTCCTACATAATTGTAAATATTGACAAAGCAAGTTCATACTGTGTTAGTCATATCTTTGCATGTGTTATTATTGTTACTTTTTGTATTGTGTATATTCTAAATGTTTATGTATACAAAAAACACTTCTACAGCATAGATTTACCTTTTTATTCATAATTTGGTAAGTTGGGCCACTGAAAGCCTTTGTACTGCCCTTGTTCTGGAAAGGAATTCCTTATTATGGAAACAATGCATGATGGTATGGGCTTTCTTATGTGCCTGCCCAGGATGCCATATGCCCAGCGCACCACCTGCCTGTAAGCTGTGTAGCGATACTGCCTGCAGAGTTACATTTGCATGTCAACACACAGACATCCACCATGATAGAAATGTGATGAAAAAGAGAACCTACTCATGCTGGGTAGCAACAAGAGGGCCAAACTCCTGCCTGAAGTTGAGGTAAGCTATCTGAAGCACATAAGGATTCAGACAGCAAGCTTCAAACCCTGGATGTTCTGTCAGACAGGTAATATTTGGTTGTGGTGGGTTTATCTTTTCCACCAAGGTCCAATAGGCATCAACCTCCCTGCAGCACATGCTTTCCTCAGCTGTTGGCATGAATTGACATTTCCCACACAAGCACCTTTGAGAAATAATCAAATTATATAAATTAAAGGTACCTGCAGTAAACTTTCAGGTCAATTGTGCCACAACTTCTGCCTCAGTCTGATCTCTGCCTCAGTCTGATCTCTGCCTCAGTCTGATCTCTGCCTCAGTCTGATCTCTTCCTCAGTCTGAGCAGCTAAAGATCTACAGAAGTCTTTGTTGATGGCGTCTCAGTAGAAGAAATGTTTTATTGTCTGTCCACAGAGTTTAAGGCCTTCACAGGTTTTATACTGAGGCTGAATATGGAAGTTCTAAGCAGTCGGCCAATTGCAAACATGATGATTATTGGCAGAAGTACACTCAGGTCATGATGCTGAAGAGAAGTTGAAGACATATGGAGTCCTACCTTCTTGAATGATCTAAGATGTTTATTTACACAATATTTCCACTTTACTTTGATCTTCAAACCATCAAGTGGAAAATCACTTCTGTTCACTCTTGTAATGACCAGCTCAGTCCTAACATAACAGCAAAACAGGTCTCATAGAAGATCCATAAAGCCTGAGTTCATGAAGTTTCTGAAGCAAACTTTGTGTAAATCTCGTCATCATTGCTCTGTCGACTATGACCATGTGACGGAACAACCATAAGTCAATGTCCTGGTGTCAGCACATAATGACAGGTAAAGCGTCTTTGCATGTCCAAAAAAGCACTAATAAAACTGATTATTGTTATTACTATAATGACACCTTTCAGGACAATAATCATGTCCTTCATTGTGCTGAAAGAGAGTTATCTACAACTATGAAGACTAAACACAAAATATATCCAACTAAACAATTTCATGAGTAACAACTTTTCTCTTATGACTCTGTGTCCCCCATGGTATGTTCTATTGGCCCTGAAATGATCAAATCTTACCATTAACTTTCATCATTGATGGTATAGCGTTACCATGACTACCATGGCGTTTGAAGTCCCACCTTTGGGGCCTCTCCTTGCTTTGTGTTATTGTAGCAAAGCCAAAAAACTTCTTTCAAAAGAGCAAACGCCGTCGTAGCTGCTGGAATGATTCTCCGTTGGGAAGAGAATCTAGTTTGTTTTTTTACTGTGAATATAGTTCAGAGGAAACCACTTCAGTTAAACCAGCTCTGCACAAAACGTACATTTGCAACATGAGAAACACAATAACACACTGTTTATTGTGTGGCAGATGTGTGTGTACGTTTATAAGTAAATGTTTAAACTGTAGCACCCACATATACACACAGTGGGCCTCATGTATGAAACTTTACTCTTTTCCGCATTTATCAATCTGGACGTGAGCGAACTGTACGCACAGAATTTACACCACCAAGTCCATAGGTGGTGTAAATGTGTACGCTCATTTCACCCTTCGTCACAACACGCCAAAGCACGCATTAAAATTCAAGATTTGGACAACAATAAACATGTTCCCTCTGGCAACGTGATAAGCTGTGTTTTCATGGAGCGTCATGTTTCTGAATTTGAATTTGAGCATCAGAAAAAGTCTAACACTCTGGAAACTTTGAATAAATCACAGATCATGATGAGGAGCCTCTTCTGTTTCAATGATTTTAAACCTGACTTCTGTGTGTATTATTTTGAGCTGTATGTTTTTAGTGCTTTGTGATCCTGGACAGTGAAAGGCTCTATACAAACACACTTTATACGACAGGGATGTGTGACCCAGCTATTGCTTTGTAAATCTGTGGCAGGCTCTGCGCTGTGTAATTATGCACGGCTATCTGTTTTTCCTCATTCACATCTGGTAAAGCATTTCATTAGATTTGTGTAAGCCTCACACAGACACACACAAACGCACCGATGGATGGTATTGCTCACTCTAAATGTCTCACTGCTCTGTCCAGACTCACTGCCCTGTCCAGACTCTGTCCAGACTCTGTCCAGACCCTGTCCAGACCCTGTCCAGACTCACTGATCTGTCCAGACTCTGTCCAGACTCACTGCTCTGTCCAGACTCACTGCCCTGTCCAGACTCTGTCCAGACTCTGTCCAGACTCTGTCCAGACTCTGTCCAGACTCACTGCCCTGTCCAGACTCTGTCCAGACTCTGTCCAGACTCTGTCCAGACTCTGTCCAGACTCACTGCCCTGTCCAGACTCTGTCCAGACTCACTGCTCTGTCCAGACTCTGTTCAGACTCTGTCCAGACTCTGTCCAGACTCACTGCCCTGTCCAGACTCACTGCCCTGTCCAGACTCACTGCTCTGTCCAGACCCTGTCCAGACTCTGTCCAGACTCACTGCTCTGTCCAGACTCTGTACAGACTCACTGCTCTGTCCAGACTCTGTACAGACTCACACCCTGTACAGACTCACTGCCCTGTCCAGACTCTGCCCAGACTCTGTCCAGACTCACTGATCTGTCCAGACTCTGTCCAGACTCACTGCTCTGTCCAGACTCTGTCCAGACTCACTGCTCTGTCCAGACTCTGTCCAGACTCACTGCTCTGTCCAGACTCTGTCCAGACTCACTGCTCTGTCCAGACTCACTGCTCTGTCCAGACTCACTGATCTGTCCAGACCCTGTCCAGACTCATTGCTCTGTCCAGACTCTGTCCAGACTCACTGCTCTGTCCAGACTCACTGCCCTGTCCAGACTCACTGATCTGTCCAGACCCTGTACAGACTCACTGCCCTGTCCAGACCCTGTCCAGACTCACTGCCCTGTCCAGAATGCGCAGCGGGTCCGTGAGAGGTCGCGCCGCAAAACTCCTGTCATTCAGAAGTTTTGGCTCCAAAGTTTCTTTGTAAAATCTGGATCGCAAAAGCTCTCAGTGTACAGTGTTTCAATGCGCACTTCTACCCCGAGCCAGGCTGCGTCCAAGACGCTGCAGACGCTTCATTGATGAGAGCCACCGCTGCAATATATATACGTATATGAATTGTATGAATTGAATAATTTGGTCGCCTCGAGTGCTGTAAAGGGCTCTATAAAATAAAATTGATTGATTGATTGATGGTAACGAGTTTGTGAATCATGCTTTTGTCTTTTGTCTTGCAGCTCCCATCTTCTACCTGGGGGAGACGCAGTATCATGTGGATGAGAGCGATGGTTGGGTGGAGGTGCAGGTGTGGAGGACCGGGACAGACCTGACCAGCTCCGGCAGCGTCACGGTCCAGTCCCGCAAGACCAGCCCACTGTCCGCTCAGGGTAAGTGCACGGTCCACATTTGTCAATCACCCGGAGCTCCCATCGCCCATCTTTACCCTCTCCGGGAAATGAAATTCATTGTGCAAAAAGAAAGACAAAATGATTCACCAAAAAATCCTTGAATTATACAATATTTGTGAAAAAAAAAAATCTTAAAAAAAAAATCTTTATTTGAATTGGGACAGTGCACATTAATCAACTTGTGACTTTTCAACATGTAAATGTGCCAGAGTTAGCCATGTAAGCTAAGTATCATCCGTAGTACAATTTTTACAATACAATTTATTCTTGTATAGCCCTAGGTCACAACAGAAGTCATCTCAGAGACTTAACAAAACCATTGAAATCACCAACACAGGTCAGAGAATCAACAGTTAAAACACATGAAGAATATAAAGCACACACAGAAGAAAATGTCCATACATGTTGTAGAATGCTAAAGTGTCCTGATCATCACCAATCCTTTCTGTTGGACACTAACTGTCCAACAAGACCCTCCTGCATCCACAAGGAAAAACTCTTAAAAAACCCAGTGGGAAAAAGTGAGAAACCTTGGGGAGAACTAGGGAAACCCACAGGGAGGGAGACCCATATGAGAAAGGGATCCGCTCCTCCGGACGGACAGGCTAATGATCCAGGACCTAAGCTAGCTACAGGACGTGGACCAGCGGCGTGGACAGGTCCGGTGCAGGACTGAAGCACTCCCAGGCGGGTCGGGCGGGGCAGTCCGCAGGTGTAGATGGAGGAGGCCAGGCTCAGAGATCCAGTCATCGTACCATGAAACAGACAATGGGACAACGGGTGAATAGCAATGAACAAACTACAGTCAAAATCCTAAAAGTGCTAAACAGATAAAGTAGGAAGGAGGAGAGTCCTCTGGTAGGTTGATATCAAGACAGAAAAAATAGGACATACAACACACAGACACACACCATCACACACCAAGACATAACCAAACAGGGTAGCATGTAAAATGTGGTAAAATATGTAAAATATGTAAATTAGCACGGATTAAAGATCAGGGGGACAATACATAAAAAAACATTTTCCACACAGCAAAGAATCATTTTCTGTGACTTTAGACCATGTTGTGTTCACATGTCTCTGATTGTAAGTAAGTAATGTTTATTTATATAGCGCATTTCACAGACCCAGGTACAGACCCAAAGCACTTTACAATGTTCAGAGTCAGATATCCATCCATCCATCCAGCCATTTTCTACTCTTTAATCCATTTCTGGGTCAGGGGGGTGGCAGTCAGAGATGCCACCCAAGTCTCATAGCACCAGCCCCTCACTGACCCTCTGCAGGTGGTGAGTCCACAGGAGGACGGCTGCTCTCTGAGTGTGAGCATAGCCTTGATCTTTCAGTGGGGGCTTTGGGCAAAGTGGTGTTCAGTGTCTTGCCCAAGGACACAACGACAGCAGTCATCAGTGGGAGTCGGTGGAGAAGGTGTAGAGGTGGGAATTGAACCCACGACCTTCAGGCCTGAAGGCCAATGCTCTACCAACTGAGCTACTGTCACCCACACGGTGATGACAGAAGCGAGTCCAGAACACACTGGACCATCAGCTCCAACACCATCATTCACTCTCTCATTTACATTCAGACCTATTGTGCATGTTTTTAGTGGTAGAGGAAACCGGAGCACCCTCAGAAAGGCCCTGTTTCGAACGGGATTCGAACCCATGACCTTCTTGCTGAGAAGCGAGAGTGCAATCCACTCAGAATAAAAAAAGTTCAGGATGACAAAGGACACTAAAATCCACACAAAATCCGACCTTTATGAAAGCTGTAGGTTCTCTCTCAGGTTCTCTGTCAGGTTCTCTGTCAGCTGAGGCCGAGCTGTTTTAGATAGACGGACAGACAGACAGACAGACAGACAGACAGACAGACAGACAGACAGACAGACAGACAGACAGACAGACAGACAGACAGACAGACAGACAGACAGACAGGTTGTTTGTATGAATGTGAGAGCTCGCGTCTAACCCCGCCTCCTGAGAGCTCGCCGTCTAACCCCGCCTTCTGCTGTTCCGGCGTTTCACACATTTGCTTCTCCTACTCTTCATCGTTTAAAGGGGAGGTATTACACAGAACAGTCTTTTCTGCCTCGTTACCAGATGTTTTATTATTGATCTGAAACACTACAACATTTACAGCTGAAGCTAATTTGCAAAGTCCGTCCGAGGGCTTTGAACACAATTACAAACACATATTACATTATAATATTCACATTATACAAAAGCGTGTTTCCTTCAACTCACACGACTGGTTTGTTTTAAAAAAAAATCTTCAGTTTGTGTTTAAAACCAGCCCAGACTGAGTTGAGTTTTAGCTGAGGCTTTTAAGAGTTCCAGAGCTTTTCCCTTGGTTTTTAATCATTATCTTTCCTGTGTTTGAACGGTTTGATTCTCTGATCTGTGTTGGCAAATCAACAGCTTTGTAAAGTCCCCTGAGATAAATTCTGGTACCGTATCCTAGCAACCTACCCACAATTCACCAGTATGTGTGGAAAGTTTCTTGGTAGCCGTGGTTACCAGCAGCACTCTGGCCAATCACTGTCAGTTAGAACAGCTCGGCCTGGATAGAACCAGGGAACCAGAGGAAACACTCTAGGGTAGGGTAGGGTAGGGTAGGGTAGGGTAGGGTAGGGTAGGGTAGGGTAGAGTAGGGTAGGGTAGGTCTGGTGGAAACATGGCTGTATATATGTGGTCCTGCCTGCGTCTGTCCTGTCTGTTATCTGTTTATTGTCAGTTATAGTTTTCAGTGTCTGATGATCCTGTGTCTGATGATCCTGTGTCTAATGATCCTGTGTCTGATGATCCTGTGTCTAATGATCCTGTGTCTAATGATCCTGTGTCTGATGATCCTGTGTCTGATGATCCTGTGTCTGATGATCCTGTGTCTGATGATCCTATGTCTAATGATCCTGTGTCTGATGATCCTGTGTCTGATGATCCTGTGTCTGATGATCCTGTGTCTGATGATCCTGTGTCTAATGATCCTGTGTCTGATGATCCTGTGTCTGATGATCCTGTGTCTGATGATCCTGTGTCTGATGATCCTGTGTCTCTGTGGTTTTCAAGTAGAACTCTCTCAGTTCCTTTTGTTTGAGGCACTATCAAAAACACAAATGTTCCAAAGTTAAAACGGCTCCAATTCAGATTCAGTCTCGGTTTGAGGAGGTTTATGTTCCATGTTTTTCTCGCTGTGATTGTGGCAAAAAAAACATTGACTGGTTTTGTATTTGATGAAAAATACAATAAAAAACTGTTTGGTAGCACTTTATAATAAGCACTTTACGGACTTTGTGTTGTGTAAAGTCCTATTCGGACGGGATTAGTATTACCTGTGGACCCCTGGTAATTTGTGATAACCACATAACGTCTGAGATCTAAGTCCGGTACAAATGTTCCATGTCTGTAATTTGTAAAGTAATTATTCCGCCGCAAAAAACCTCCTGTATTTGTCCAAACACAGACGTCCTGTGAAAATACTGATCCAGTGAATCTGCATGTCAGTGATTGTGATCGCTATCGCCACTTTCTCTTTACTTTCTACATTGCTGCTGCTGTCTCTGTGAGGTCTATGGACAAGTGTAGAGGACAGTGTAAAGTGTTCACTGACACTAAATGTTGGTTGTGTTTGTATGTTTACTTTGCACTCTGTCCTCATACAGCACAGACGTGTTGCTGCAGCTGTTACTGCAGCTGTTACTGCTTGTTGGTTTGCGCGTATGTTAGCAGAGTATGTGGTGCGTTTATGGGTAGTCCGTACAAACAGTATTGTAGAACAGCACAGACAGTACGGGCCAGAGAACTGTAGAGCAGTAAAATCCACATGTGTTTGTCTTCTGCTGATCCCGTGTGAATGCATTGCAAGATCTCAGACGTCTTCCGCAATTATCACAAATTACCAGGGGTCCACAGGTAATACTAATCCCGTCCGAATAGGGCCTAACAGTTGTTTATGAAACTGGGATAGAGAGCCACAAAGTTAGGATGAGAAACAGAGAGCTGTACAAGTGATCTGGCCGACTCCGATTGTGTATCTGTAACACTAATACACAATCAAAGCAGATACACAATCAGAACAGATACACAATTGGAGTCGTTGGGACCTACACAAGGCCAGATCACTTGTATAGCTCTCTATTTCGCATGGTAGGAAGAAAAAAAGGACCCGGATAGTGAGGTAAGAAGTCTTGTACAGTTTTTCCAATGTGGTTTTACTGCAAATGGAAATCAAATACTTGAATCTTTTTCCCACGAACATAGCTTCAGCCAGTGCCATTCTATATATTTGATAACTACCTGCACTGATAAGTTATGTTTGTCTATTTGCAATACAACCTTTTTTCAGGAAACCTTAGAAAGAGGGCAAGTGCTTAGACTTTGGAGGTGATTGGGAATAGAACACTGCCTCTTGGCGGTCATCTGTGCCCTACGGGAGCTTTTCTCATTCAGCTTTATGTATTCTAAAGTGCTACCAAACGTCAAAAAGCCCAAACAGACATAAAACCCACGTCACCAAGACTCCATTCTGAACTCAACACGTTTTAACCATTGTTTTTCCGTCTTCGCCGTCAAACCTCGGAGCTGTCACTCCCGCTCGGCGCCACCATCGGCTCCGCGCTGCCCGACTTCTTGGGCTTCTCCTGGGCTCGCCTCTGCTTGGATCTGACCAGTAACAGCACCAGTATGATGATGAGCAGTGTCAGCAGCAGTCCCACCAGGCCTCCCACCATCAGCACCAGCCCGTCCTCCCCGCCCCCTCCCTCGCCACTTTTACGGTTGACCTCCCGCGGCACGGCGGCCTCGGCCCAGCGGGCGCGGTCCACGGTGGAGTGCACCGGGCTGCTCCGCTCCAGGGCGATGTGGAGGATGTTGGTGCCGCGGTTGTTGGCCTCTCCGATCTGGGCTGCGAGGTCCGGGGTGTGGTGGCGGGGGGTGGATCGTGCTGTGCGGTTGGAGAGGGGCGGAGTTTGGAAGTGGGAGGGGCCAGCGTGAGAGGAAAAGGCGTGGTATTCCAGGCTGCGCTTGCCGATGCCGCGGTTGGCGCTCTCCCGGGAGCGCACGGTGTAGATGGTGTGGATGTACCACTCGCGACCGGCCGATACCTGCGGGAAAGAGGAACATTTACAATTTACTCACTTTCCTTTGAGGCCTTCAATTCAATTCAATTTATTTTTTGTTTATCACAACAGACAAAACAAAAAAACTCACAACAGTAATTATCTTGGAGGACTTTTCAAAACCATTGAATTCACCAGCACAGATCAAAGAATCAAAGAGTTCAAACAAAGACTGTAAATATTAACAGACATAGTCACGGCTATCTCCGCCGTTGAAACTATGTGACATCACTTTCGCCGTCTTTGGGCAGTTTCAAAAGGGCCAAAGAAAGATCAAAGACCAACATGTGTCACTTCTGAAGATAAATCACCCTCCAACAAACAGGAGATAACTTTGGTCTGTGTCAGTTCTGCTGCTCCAGTCCCTGAGGTCCTCTGACTGGCCTCCTGCTAAGACTGAGGAGCACAGGGACTGGCCTCCTGCTGGGACCCAGAGGAGCACAGGGACTGGTCTCCTGCTGGGACTCTGAGGAGCACAGGGACTGGTCTCCTGCTGGGACTCTGAGGAGCACAGGGACTGGCCTCCTGCTGGGACTCTAAGGAGCACAGGGACTGGCCTCCTGCTGGGACTCTAAGGAGCACAGGGACTGACCTCCTGCTGGGACTCTAAGGAGCACAGGGACTGGCCTCCTGCTGGGACTCTGAGGAGCACAGGGACTGGCCTCCTGCTGGGACTCTGAGGAGCACAGGGACTGACCTCCTGCTGGGACTCTGAGGAGCACAGGGACTGGCCTCCTGCTGGGACTCTAAGGAGCACAGGGACTGGCCTCCTGCTGGGACTCTGAGGAGCACAGGGACTGGCCTCCTGCTGGGACTCTGAGGAGCACAGGGACTGGCCTCCTGCTGGGACTCTGAGGAGCACAGGGACTGGCCTCCTGCTGGGACTCTGAGGAGCACAGGGACTGGCCTCCTGCTGGGACTCTGAGGAGCACAGGGACTGGCCTCCTGCTGGGACTCTGAGGAGCACAGGGACTGCTCTACGTGTTTATCCAAATATCATTTGTCTAATAAATCATTTTAAAATCTAAAACACAGAATACCAAAGTGAATCTTCTCACGATCGTGTTCAGGGCAGAACATACAGCGTGATATTGCATCAGCTGCAGTTCCCCGTAGCACACAGATGAGCCCGCAGGATCTCTCAGCCCTGCAGGAGTTTAAAGAACACATCTCTCACAAATCTCCTTTTATGAAATCAAAAGAACATGAATGAGTTTCAGCCGCGGCACAGAAGCTGCTGAACACCTGAGCTCCTGATGCAACCGCCTGATGAGGGAGCATCAGGAGAGAGGCCTGCGTCACACACACTCACAGAACTCACAGAGCAGTCAATTTGACGGCTTTCAGTTTGTGAAGTGTGATTGCTCGGCGTGTTCGGATCTTCTTAGCTGTGACTGTTTCTGTATCGATTTAGTTTCTTTCTTTGTCATTGTTTCTATGAAATCTTCTTTTATTTTTGAAATGTGAGGAATTAGAACTTTAACTCCAGTTACCATGGCAACACAATGTTTACTGTTAGCATTAATTTGACAATAAATGGCATCAAATCATCCCCTGTGACAAAATACAGAGAATAATAGTCATAATATCCAAAACAGACTAAGGCTTAGCAACCGGCAGGAGTTTCCTCTGTGAATGAAGGCTTCTGATTGGTCAGTCCTTTTATGGCTCAAATCTGGATTTACAAAGACAATATCACAATAAAAACACCAGGATCACAGAGAGCGACACACCATGGATTATGACATGACACAAACTTTACTGAGGAAAAAAGGGTTCATTTCAGGTCAATAGGAGCCAGAGTGAGTTGGAATGTCATCTATGAGCTCTTCACTTCAATTCATTTCAATTCTTAGCCCTAAATTACAACAGTAGTTATCTCGGAGGACTCGATTCACCAACACAGATCAGAAAATCAAACAGTTCAAACACAGGAAATGCACTGATTAAACCACACAGAGCCATTGGTCCATGAGGAGCAGAGACCAAAGTCCATAAATGTTGATAAACTCCATAAATGAGCTCTTCCCAATTTGCTATTGAGGTAGCAGGTTAGCATTGTCTGTGTACATACAGTGCGGTCAGTGGTGTCAGTGCGGTAAGTGCGGTCAGTGGTGTCAGTGGTGTCAGTGGTGTCAGTGCGGTGTCAGTGCGGTCAGTGGTGTCAGTGGTGTCAGTGCGGTGTCAGTGCGGTCAGTGGTGTCAGTGGTGTCAGTGGTGTCAGTGCGGTGTCAGTGCGGTCAGTGGTGTCAGTGGTGTCAGTGGTGTCAGTGCGGTGTCAGTGGGGTCAGTGGTGTCAGTGGTGTCAGTGGGGTCAGTGGTGTCAGTGGTGTCAGTGCGGTGTCAGTGCGGTCAGTGGGGTCAGTGTGGTTAGTGCGGTCAGTGCGGTCAGTGGTGTCAGTGGTGTCAGTGCGGTCAGTGCGGTCAGTGGTGTCAGTGCGGTGTCAGTGGTGTCAGTGCGGTCAGTGGTGTCAGTGCGGTCAGTGCGGTCAGTGGTGTCAGTGCGGTCAGTGCGGTCAGTGGTGTCAGTGCGGTCAGTGTGGTCAGTGCGGTCAGTGGTGTCAGTGGGGTCAGTGGCCTCCTGCTGAGACTCAGAGGAGCACAGTGCTGACCTCTTGCTGGGACTCAGAGCAGCACAGTGGACGGCCTCCTGCTGAGACTCAGTCAGGGACTGCGGTCAGCTGGGACTGGCTGAGCAGCGTTCCAGTAAACCCAACCCTATCACTAGTTTTCACATGTTCTGTACCCCCCCCCCTACCCCCTCACCCCCCCTCACCCCCCTCACCCCCGCAGGAGCGCTGTATCCGACCAGTATGAGGATTAACGCACAGGGACGACTCGTGGTTAACTTCAGGACCGAGGCTCGCTTCAGGGGCCTCTTCGTCCTCTCACACAAAGGTACAGTTTACTCATACGACACTAAGGTACATACAGCTCAGTCTTTCACGGATTCAGTCAGTTGCCCGTGTTCTACTCTTCGGCAACTAGTCGTCCTCAGATCCGGAGATATCACAGAAGAGTGTTGTCATGTGATGTATTGCGCCCTCTACAGTTTATGTCAGAAAACACACTGTAGTTGAGGCCAGTTGCTGTTATTCCCCAGACTGGCCTGATACAGGAGTTGCCTGTTATTCCCCAGACTGGCCTGATACAGGAGTTACCTGTTATTCCCCAGACTGGCCTGATACAGGAGTTACCTGTTATTCCCCAGACTGGCCTGATACAGGAGTTGCCTGTTATTCCCCAGACTGGCCTGATACAGGAGTTGCTGTTATTCCCCAGACTGGCCTGATACAGGAGTTACCTGTTATTCCCCAGACTGGCCTGATACAGGAGTTGCTGTTATTCTCCAGACTGGCCTGATACAGGAGTTGCCTGTTATTCTCCAGACTGGCCTGATACAGGAGTTACCTGTTATTCTCCAGACTGGCCTGATACAGGAGTTGCCTGTTATTCCCCAGACTGGCCTGATACAGGAGTTGCCTGTTATTCCCCAGACTGGCCTGATACAGGAGTTACCTGTTATTCCCCAGACTGGCCTGATACAGGAGTTGCCTGATATTCCCCAGACTGGCCTGATACAGGAGTTGCCTGTTATTCTCCAGACTGGCCTGATACAGGAGTTACCTGTTATTCCTCAGACTGGCCTGATACAGGAGTTGCCTGTTATTCCCCAGACTGGTCTGATACAGGAGTTACCTGTTATTCCTCAGACTGGCCTGATACAGGAGTTACCTGTTATTCCCCAGACTGGCCTGATACAGGAGTTGCCTGTTATTCCTCAGACTGGCCTGATACAGGAGTTACCTGTTATTCCCCAGACTGGCCTGATACAGGAGTTACCTGTTATTCCTCAGACTGGTCTGATACAGGAGTTACCTGTTATTCCCCAGACTGACCTGATACAGGAGTTACCTGTTATTCCTCAGACTGGCCTGATACAGGAGTTACCTGTTATTCCCCAGACTGGCCTGATACAGGAGTTACCTGTTATTCCCCAGACTGGCCTGATACTGGAGTTGCCCGTTTTCATCAGATTGTCGATGTGTGCGGGGCAGCCACTCATAGGCCACAGATATAATCAGTTGCCGGTCCCATGTACGCTAGGAATAATGGCCGCGTGCCCAGACTCTGTATAAATAAATAAATGTAAAGCTACACAAAAAATACAATAAAACTAGCTTAAATGTTGCCTGGTCTTTCCATACCTTCGTACTAATTTCATTTCATACTAAGGTCTGGACTTGCTCCATCAAGTTCCGTTAAGTTCGGACTGAATGGTTCCTGTCCCCAGGGTCCTCCGTGGCGTCGATGGTGATGTGTGCGGACCACCCGGGCCTGACCTTTAACCTGACGCTGGTGCGGAGCGAGCCCAGCTACAGCCACCCCCTGCAGCTGTGGAGCTTTGTGTCCGACTTCGCAGTAAGTGCAGCTGCAGCAGCGTGTTGGCTCCTGACCACAGCAGTCTCATGTCTGTGTGTGTGTGTGTGCGTTTGTGTCTGCGTTTGTGTCTTTGTGTGTGTGTGTGTGTGTGTATGTATGTGTGTGTCTGTGTCTGTCTGTCTGTGTGTTTCTGTGCATGTGTGTGTGTGTCTGTGCGTGTGTGTGTGTGTGCATGTGCATGTCTGTGTGTGTGTGTGTTATCTGTGTGTGTGTCTTTGTGTGTGTGTGTCTGTGTCTGCCTGTGCATGTCTGTCTGTGTGTGTTTCTGTGCATGTGTGTCTGTGTGTGTGCATGTATGTGTGTGTGTCTGTGCATGTGTGTGTGTGTGTAATCTGTGTGTGTGTGTGTGTCTTTATGTGTGTGTGTAATGTGTGTGTGTGTGTGTCTGTGTCTGCCTGTGCATGTCTGTCTGTGTGTGTGTCTGTGCATGTGTGTGTGTGTTTGTGCGTATGTAATTGTGTCTGTGTGTATCTGTGTGTGTGTCTGTGCATGTGTGTGTGTGTGTGTTTGTGCGTATGTAATTGTGTCTGTGTGTGTCTGTGTAGGTGCGGGACTACTCTGGGACCTACACCCTGAAGCTGGTCCCGTGCTCGGCCCCTCCTGGTCTGGACTACAGTCTGCCCCCGGTCTGCAGCCCCCGGGACCCACTGAGCTTCGAGCTGGACATCCGCTTCCAGCAGGTGAGGCCTGAAGCCGCAGGAGCAGGTCCCGGTCTTCACTTCTGTAGAAAACTGGATCATGCTTTTTCTGTAGTGTTTGTTCAACAGATCAGAGAATCAACCAATCAGTGATGCCAGGAGCTCTTTCCAAGTGGCTCCACAAAAGACTTAGAAGCGAAAAAACATATACCGTAAATGCCGGACTAAAAGCCGCAGCTTTTTTCCCGCATTTTGAAGGGTGCGGCTTATAGTCAGGAGCGGCTTTATTCATTTTTTTTTTCTGTGGCGCCGAAAAACATTTAGCAAAGTAACAGTTGACCAACAGAATAGTAGTTCACAGAGGTCCTATTGAATTGTTTGATGTGTCAATCAAGCAGAATAAAAAAAGTTTAAAAGTCCATCCATTTTCTACCCTTTAATCCATTTCTGGGTCAGGGGGGTGGCAATCAGAGATGCCACCCAAGTCTCATAGCACCAGCCCCTCACTGACCCTCTGCAGGTGGTGAGTCCACAGGAGGACGGCTGCTCTCTGAGTGTGAGCATAGCCTTGATCTTTCAGTGGGGGCTTTGGGCAAAGTGGGGTTAAGTGTCTTGCCCAAGGACACAACGACAGCAGTCATCAGTGGGAGTCGGTGGAGAAGGTGTAGAGGTGGGAATTGAACCCACGACCTTCAGGCCTGAAGGCCAATGCTCTACCAACTGAGCTACTGTCGCCCAGTTTAAAAGTCGTCATTTATAATATCTTTGTGTAAATATCTCATATAATAAAGTTTTTGGTTCTTTGTAAAGACATGAAAGAGAAACGAGACCTTTCTGCTTCACACTGAACTCACTTTTTACTCTTACTCTTATTACTCACAGTAATGTCAGATTCAGATTCAGTTTATTTGCCATTTGCAGTAAAAACAGCACATAGGAATACATTAGCAAAAGTCTCCAGTGTGCACAGACAAATACAGACATAAAAAAACATTAAAAGACAAAAATAAAACAAATAAAACAGTAAACAAATGTCACTGAAATGGATCGACTAAAACAGTTTCAAAACAAGTGCAAATCATTAAAGTGCTCTGTTCACACTGATAACAGCTTGTGGATAAAAACTGTTAGCGTAACGAGATGTCCTGCATCTCAGAGAGCGATATCTTCTGCCGGAGGGAAGAAGCTGGAACATGGCTTTCCCAGGGTTGCCAGAAGAGTCATTAACAATCCTAAGAGCTTTGTTTAAAAGTGTGGATTTTTAAAGAACCTCCAGAACAGGAAGCTCACAGCCCACGGTCCTCTTTGCAGAGCGGAGCACCTTGTTTAAAGCTCTCTTTTCTTTATCTGTGATGTTTCCAAACCACACAGACACAGAACCAACAAGTAAACTCTCAATGGTGCAGCCATAAAAGTTAAGCACAATCTTAGAGTTAGTGGTAAATTCTCTAAGTTTACGCAGAAAGTAGAGACGCTGATGAGCTTTCTTAACGACTCGGTCAGTGTTTTTAACCCATTTCAGGTTAGACAGAGTTAAACCCAGAAACTTGCTCCTCTACGATCTGCACCTGGGAGTTGTCGATTACGACAGGCAAATGAGAACTATTGTGACTGAAGTCGTGACCAGTTCACATGTTTTGGATGCGTTCAACTGGAGGTTGTTAGTTTGACTCCACTGAACCACATTTTGTATCTCTGCTCTATAAGAGGATTCATCAGTGTCACTGATGAGACCGATGATAGTGGTGTCATCAGCATATTTGATGATCAAGTTAGAGTCAGAGGAGGACACACAATCGTGAGTGTACAAAGTAAAAAGCAAAGGACTCAAAATAAATCCCTGAGGAGAACCAGTGCTCACAGAAACAACATCAGAAAAAACTCATTGATTTTCACTCTGAGATCTGTCAGTTAAAAAGATAAAAATCCATTTACACATGGCAACACTTAAACCCAGAGACATGAGCTTTTCCATCAGTTTACCTGGGAAAAGGCAGTTAAAAGCAGAGCTATAATCGATGAAAAGCATTCTGGCCACAGATTTACTAGTGTCCAAGTGACTGTAGACAGAGTTCAGAGCAAAGGAGATGGCATCCTCCACACTCCTGTTCTGTCTGTAAGCAAACTGGAGCGGGTCAACACTCACAGGGATCTGGCTCTTAATGAAGTCCACCACAAGCCGCTCAAAAGTTTTCATAAGAACAGACGTGAGGGCCACAGGACGATAGTCATTCAGGCATGTCACAGGAGTTTTCTTAGGAACTGGAATGATGGTGGACTCTTTAAAGCGGTTCGGCACAGTACAGTTCCTTAGCGACAGGTTGAAAATGTCTGTTAGCACAGGGGCAAGTTGCTCAGAGCACAGTTTCAGGACGCGAGGAGGGATGCCGTCCGGGCCTGGGGCTTTCCGGACTGTGGTCCTGGACAAGACACGCCTGACTTCCTCCTGAGTCACGGTGAAGGTACCTTGATTGAAACACTCAGGGAATACAGTAGGACAGGCATCAGCGGATTCAAAGCGACAGTAGAACGTGTTCAGCTCGTTTGGCAGAGCTTGGCCGACAGATGCAGTTTTCCCAGCGCTAGGTTTCCACGATGTGATGGCTTTAATACCGTTCCACATGCGCCGAGGGTCATCTTCCTCAAAATAACTCTTTAACCTGTCCCCGTAACTGCGCTTTGCAGATTTAATAGAACGTTTCAATGAGTAACAGGATAGTTTATAAGCAACTGTATCATTTGATTGAAACGCCAGAACACGCTCATGAAGTTTCAGTTTCACTTCCGCGTTCATCCAAGGGTTTTGACTAAAATGTTCTTTAATGACCTTCTGTGGGACACAGCCGTCAATACAGAAGCGTATGTATCCAGACACAGCGTCACAGAATTCATTGACGTCCTCTGACTGAAACACAGACCAGTCCGTAGCATCAAAACAACCTTGTAGCTTCATGCTAGCCTCCTCAGACCAACACTGCACAGTGCGAGAGGTTGGTTTATGTTCCCTGCTCCTCTGAGTATACGAAGGAAGAAGGAGAACAGAGGAGTGGTCAGACTTTCCAAAAGGAGGTCTGAGACTGGACCTGTAAGCTCCCTTCACGTTACTGTAGCAGTGATCCAGAACATGTGCTGCTCTTGTAGCTCGAGTCACATGTTGGTAAAAGTTCGGGAGTACAGTCTTTAAATTACATTTATTGAAATCCCAGCAACAATGATGACTGCGTTAGGATGAGCAGACTCATGTTTGTGAAGGATCTCGCTCAGATCCTGTAGGGCTACTTTGTAATCCGCACGTGGGTGAATGTAAACAGCACATAAAAATATCACTGAAAACTCACGGGGAAGATAAAAAGGGCGGCAGCTCAAGACCAGGCATTCCAGATTGGCAGTACATGTTTGGTTCACGACTCGAGTGTCCGTGCACCAGCGCTGATTAATTAAAAAGCACACACCTCCGCCTCTGGCCTTGCCCGTGGTCTCCTTCACTCTGTGGGCACGGTGAGCGGTGAATCCCGGGGGCTGAACAGCAGAGTCCGGGACGTTCGAGTGGAGCCACGTCTCTCTGAGGCAGAACACAGCGCAGTCCCGGGCCTCGCGCTGGCTCTGGACCCGACACAGGAGCTCGTCCGTCTTGTTGGGCAGAGACTGGACGTTGGCCAGGTAGATGGAGGGCAGAGCGGTCCTGGAGGAGCGGCTACGAACGAGCAGACCGCCTCGCCTTCCCCGGTGTCTGCGCCTCCTTCACCGACTCGAGGTGCCCAGCTCCACACCGCGGAGAGAACGCCGGAGACGCCCAGTCCCCTCGCTCTGTTGGCGGCCACCGCCGCGGCCCGCCTGCCGTGCTCCACGGGCCTCTCGAGTGGGACACTCGAGGAAGTTTGTGCACCTCAGGTAAAACGAGTGACCCGTCACCCGCGTGGTCCCGAATGTGCAGAAGTGTTTGCCGATCATATTTCACTGTGGCAAATGAATCCCAGACGAAAAACAACAAAACACAGATTGTGCGCACCAGAGCGTTCACTGCGGCGCCCTGACACGGCGCCATCTTGCTAGTCCTCATGCTCTCTCTCATCTATGAACAAGATCAACTACATTTTTCAATATTACAAAGTGGGACAGGTGCGGCTTGTACAAAATTAGAGGCTGCGGCTTATAATCAGGGGCAGCTTATAGTCCAGAAAATACAGTGTTGTTATATACATACTGTAGGTATACAGTATAGTAAGTAAGTAAGTAAGTTTTTATTTATATACCGCCTTTTCACTGCAGATCTGAGTCTCAAAGCGGTTTACAATTGTTAATTTTGGGCATTTGTCTCTCACTCCACACAGAGATGGGAGCGGGGCCAGTACAGGAAGCGCATGCCAGAACTATTGGACATATTTTTAGTGGTAGGGGAAACCGGAGTACCCGGAGGAAACCTACGCAGACACGGGGAGAACATGCAAACTCCACTCAGAAAGGCCCTGGTCCGACCGGGATTCGAACCCAGGACCTTCTTGCTGAGAGGCGAGAGTGCTATCCACTCAGCCACCGTGCCACCGTATATTCTGGATAATTTGAATGTGTTGATTCACAGATCCATTATAAATGTAGACTTTGTGTTCTAATGCTTCTGTGTGTGTGTGTGTGTGTGTGTGTGTGTGTGTGTGTGTGTGTGTGTGTGTGTGTGTGTGTGTGTGTGTGTGTGTGTGTGTGTGTGTGTGTGTGTGTGTGTGTGTGTGTGTGTGTGTGTGTGTGCAGGTGAGTGACCCGGTGGCAGCAGAGTTCAGTCTGAACACTCAGCTGCTGCTGTTGTCAAAGAAAACTCTGTGGCTCTCAGACGGATCCATGGGCTTCAGTCAGGAGAGCGACACTGCCTTCTCCAGAGGTACACACTCTGATACACACTCTGATACACACTCTGATACACACTCTGACACACACTCTGACACACACTCTGATACACACTCTGATACACACTCTGATACACACTCTGATACACACTCTGATACACACTCTGATACACACTCTGACACACACTCTGATACACACTCTGATACACACTCTGATACACACTCTGACACACACTCTGATACACACTCTGATACACACTCTGATACACACTCTGATACACACTCTGACACACACTCTGATACACACTCTGATACACACTCTGATACACACTCTGATACACACTCTGATACACACTCTGATACACACTCTGACACACACTCTGATACACACTCTGATACACACTCTGACACACACTCTGATACACACTCTGATACACACTCTGACACACACTCTGACACACACTCTGATACACACTCTGACACACACTCTGATACACACTCTGATACACACTCTGATACACACTCTGATACACACTCTGACACACACTCTGATACACACTCTGATACACACTCTGACACACACTCTGATACACACTCTGATACACACTCTGATACACACTCTGACACACACTCTGACACACACTCTGATACACACTCTGATACACACTCTGATACACACTCTGATACACACTCTGATACACACTCTGATACACACTCTGATACACACTCTGATACACACTCTGACACACACTCTGATACACACTCTGATACACACTCTGATACACACTCTGACACACACTCTGACACACACTCTGATACACACTCTGATACACACTCTGATACACACTCTGACACACACTCTGATACACACTCTGATACACACTCTGATACACACTCTGATACACACTCTGACACACACTCTGATACACACTCTGATACACACTCTGACACACACTCTGATACACACTCTGACACACACTCTGACACACACTCTGATACACACTCTGACACACACTCTGATACACACTCTGATACACACTCTGATACACACTCTGATACACACTCTGATACACACTCTGATACACACTCTGACACACACTCTGATACACACTCTGATACACACTCTGATACACACTCTGACACACACTGACACACACTGACACACTCTGACCACCCATCATAGGGCTGCAGGCCGGGGCAGCCCTGTGATGGGAGACTTCTGTTATAATAGCCTGTTATATGTTTGGGAATATACAGTATGTCCAGGTCGATGTGACTGTGAAAAGGAGGATGATCCGACGACAGAAAAGAAAACAATGAAGTGAAATCTAAGCCCATTATAAACTTCTTACACGTCCTTCTTATTCGTGTTTTTGAAACGCCGCGGCCCGCTCGCATCAGGAGTGGATCAAACGCACTCTGCTGCGCTGGCTTTCTGATGCAGCCCAAACACTCTCATTATTTCCTTCTCCTGCAGCCGCAAAACCACAACAAAGCTGCCATTGAAGTGTCACTTTGCCCACTTTATCTTTACACAAAACAGGCTCATTGCGACAGAGAGAAGTCTTTGCAAAGTCCTTCTCCTAAAACTCATTAACTCACTTTCTGAGGATTTACTTTTCCAGGATGTGCAGCAGGAGAGTCACTGATAGTAGCTTCTGTTAGCAGTAGCTTCTGTTAGCAGTAGCTTCTGTTAGCAGTAGCTTCTGTTAGCAGTAGCTTCTGTTTGCATTGACTCCCACAGCGGCTAATCTAAAGTACGACAGGCAAGAATCAGTGACAGTGAGGTTTGGGTCCTAGTCTGACAGGGGGCCCAAAGACTCCCTGTATGGGCCAGCAGAGGGTGCTCTCTCTGTCTGTATGCATCACGGCGTATAATCGTAGAATATATTATGTATTATGAAAGAAAAAAAACAATGTCTAGAATCACCGTCAAACCTGCGCCTCTTTATGATGTACAATACAAGTGTCATGAGCATGTGGAGCTGAGCTAGTGTCGAAGACCATTAGCACAAGCATAGCGTCTATGTATTTAGACTGTGTCACTGCGTGTGTCTGAGTGATGAGTGGCTGGCCGTCAGCTCGGTCTGAGTCCCTGTGCGGTCTGTGGGTGGACAGGCTTCTACAAAGGCTCTGAGACCAGCCTTTTGCAGCAGCCCCCTGTGCAGACCCAAGCATGTTTTATGTTTAAAGGAGCAGTATGTACAAATGTGGCCAAAAGTGGTACTGCAGCCTCTCCCACTCTCCCTGACTCAGGTTGCCAGATATGCAGACGAATCCAGCTGGGACCATAACAGCTGAATTGACAAGAGTTTTGTCAACAACAAATCTATAACCAACACCTTTTTCACAAAGATAGAAATCCTGGTTTTCACAGACTTTCTGATTGGTGAAACGGTGGAGGGCGGGACATCGAAATGAAAACAATAAAAAGATTTAGGGACTGGAAAAGTAATTTAGAAATTCAAATATCTCTGAACTACTGTTATCAGTTAAAGAAGTATTGGAAAAGAGCAGTTTATTATTATGACAGATTAGGGCCCTTTAATGATGACAGATTAGGGCCCTTTAATGATGACAGATTAGGGCCCTTTAATTATAACAGATTAGGGCCCTTTAATGACACAGATTAGGGCCCTTTAATGATGACAGATCAGGGCCCTTTAATGATGACAGATCAGGGCCCTTTAATGATAACAGATTAGGGCCCTTTAATGATGACAGATCAGGGCCCTTTAATAATAACAGACTAGGGCCCTTTATTGACAGATTAAGGCCCTTTAATGATGACAGATTAGGGCCCTTTAATGATGACAGATCAGGGCCCTTTAATGATGACAGATCAGGGCCCTTTAATGATGACAGATTAGGGCCCTTTAATGATGACAGATCAGGGCCCTTAAATGATGACAGATTAGGGCCCTTTAATGATGACAGATTAGGGCCCTTTAATGATGACAGATTAGGGCCCTTTAATGATGACAGATTAGGGCCCTTTAATTATGACAGATTAGGGCCCTTTAATGATGACAGATTAGGGCCCTTTAATGATGACAGATTAGGGCCCTTTAATTATGACAGATTAGGGCCCTTTAATGATGACAGATCAGGGCCCTTTAATGATGACAGATTAGGGCCCTTTATTGATGACAGATCAGGGCCCTTTAATGATGACAGATTAGGGCCCTTTAATTATGACAGATTAGGGCCCTTTAATTATGACAGATTAGGGCCCTTTAATTATGAAAGATTAGGGCCCTTTATTGATGACAGATTAAGGCCCTTTAATGATGAAAGATTAGGGCCCTTTAATGATAACAGACTAGGGCCCTTTATTGACAGATTAAGGCCCTTTAATGATGAAAGATTAGGGCCCTTTAATAATGACAGATTAGACAGATATTGTTACTTTAAGGTGGACTTAAAACAGATGTATTTTGAACTTCATAAGCCACAAGCTATATATCATTTTAAAGCTTATTTTCTCAGTTATATTTATATGTAAGTGTAAACAATATCAGACTTTGTATTACAAAGATATAATGCATAATATGGGCACAAAATAAATCGTGTTTGTATAAGTTTTTTACCTTTCGTCTTCTGCTGCTCCAACAAATTAGACTTTCCCCGTCCTTGCTCAGTCTCTTTCTCTCCGTAAGTCTTCAGTGAAAAAGAATATCCACATGTATTTCCCAAAGTATAATCCATTCTTCAGAAATAATCCAAAAATGTGCATTTTTCTGTTGCAAAAAAAACGCTCTGAAAGATATTCAGGCTTCTCTTTCACATTTCACAAAGTTTGAGCTTTGAGCCCCAAAAACATCATATCCACGTGTTCCTTGAGTCCTTAGCTTCAAAAAGAGAGGTTCCATGAAAAGATAGGAGCAGGTTTCAGTCCGCAGGACCCTCGTGAAAAAGACAAACCGCATCCACTTGCACAGGGTCCTTTTTCCCTTGTTGTTAATTAGCATTGCTAGCGCAATGTGCTAGCACTGAATGATTGACGTGTCTAAGTAGCCAATAAAAGAGCTTTCTTTTGATGGGTGGGACTTGTAGGAACTCTTTTCATTTTCACAGTAAAAGCGTGCGTAAAGACGCTGTTAGTACTGCTGCGCATATTTTATATGCATTTACAATACTACAAAAATATTTTTGAAAGAATGTAAAAGAAAATCACACAGATTTGTAACTTATAAGTACCAAAACTAAAAAATATGCTTTTTATGATGGTGAAATGTTAGTAAAGCAGTTTGGCACAATTGCACACATTTTGCCAAATTGGTTCCAAATGGCACTACTTGATAAAAAAGAGAAACTGCATAAAAACTATAAAACTTAGAAGTCTGAAACTTTACACAGTTGTTGTCAACAACACAATGGACAAATTGGCATTGAAAAATTTCTTCTTCCAATGAAGTAGGCTTTTTTAGGGCATTTATACATTGAATTTTTTAGGCGAGGCTAAAAAAAACAAGTTTTTTTCCCAAACTTCATAGGATGCAGAGTAAAATAGGAATGACACACATTATTTCAGTGTATATTTACATAAACTAGAAGGGCCTAGCTTTAAAATGATGCATCACACAAGCATGTGACATGTAAGATGTGTTTTTAAATAAGCAAAGACATTTGGATATGCCAAACTTTTGTGCACGAGCCAAAACAGATGTAGGAGTTTGATGAAGGTGAAGGTAGACTTTAGTTTATGAAGGTGGACTGTAAGTGTCTCCTGCTGTGATCTTGTCCTCTGTGTCTTCAGGGGACGTGGTGTACGGCCGGGTGATGGTGGACCCGGTGCAGAACCTGGGTCACTCTTTCATGTGCAACATAGAGAAGGTGTTCCTGTGCACGGGGGCGGATGGATACGTGCCCAAGTACAACCCCACGCAGGGGGAGTTCGGCTGCCTGGCCGACGCTCCGTCACTGCTGCACCGCTTCAAGATCCTCGTGAGTTCACTTCCAACAGCACTTCACAAACTAAATTTATATTTATATAGAAGGATTTGCTTCATTCAGCCACGCAGTTGGAAAGCACGGAATTGCACAAAGTAATTTAGAAGGAAAACTATAAACTCTATAGTTTGATTTTTAGCTCTATCCCGCGATAAACCAGAGACCACTGTAGTCTACTGAAGGCTTTTGAAGGACCAGGATGTAGTGCAATGACCATGACGTTTGCCTGTGTGGTGTGTGTGTCTGTGGCGTGTGTGTGTCATATGTGGTGTGTGTGACATGTATGGTGTGTGTGGTGTGTGTGAGCAGGACAAGGCCCAGCCGGAGACCCAGGCGCGTTCCTTCGGCAACGTGGCCTTTAATGCAGCTCTGGCGGTGGACGACCCCGAGGCCCTGGCTCTGGTGCGACAGCCGGGATCCGACGGGTTCAAGATGGACTCCACTGCCCTGTTCCAGGTGACCGCACTGACCGCACTGAGACCACTGACCGCACTGACCGCACTGACCGCACTGACCGCACTGACCGCACTGACCCCACTGACCGCACTGACCGCACTGACCCCACTGACACCACTGACACCGCACTGACACCACTGACCGCACTGACACCGCACTGACCGCACTGACCGCACTGACCGCACTGACCGCACTGACCCCACTGACACCACTGACACCGCACTGACCGCACTGACCGCACTGACCGCACTGACACCACTGACCGCACTGACCCCACTGACCGCACTGACCACACTGACACCACTGACCGCACTGACCACACTGACCCCACTGACCCCACTGACCGCACTGACCACACTGACACCACTGACCGCACTGACCCCACTGACCCCACTGACCGCACTGACCGCACTGACCCCACTGACCGCACTGACCGCACTGACCGCACTGACCGCACTGACACCACTGACCGCACTGACACCGCACTGACCCCACTGACACCACTGACCGCACTGACACCACTGACACCACTGACCGCACTGACCGCACTGACCGCACTGACCGCACTGACCGCACTGACCGCACTGACCCCACTGACCGCACTGACCGCACTGACCCCACTGACACCACTGACACCGCACTGACACCACTGACCGCACTGACACCGCACTGACCGCACTGACCGCACTGACCGCACTGACCGCACTGACCCCACTGACACCACTGACACCGCACTGACCGCACTGACACCACTGACCGCACTGACCGCACTGACCCCACTGACACCACTGACCGCACTGACACCACTGACCGCACTGACCGCACTGACTGTTAAGTGTTTTCTTGACAATGTTCTGATAACAGTAGTAAATGACGGCCTCTGATTGGTCAATCCTTATACGGCTCACATCTGGATTTCCACCCGGCTGTCGAGGTCGGTGATAATGCTGTGTGATTATTACTTTATGTGTTTTTTTAAGTGAAAAAAGTGCCTTTGTAGTGACGCAGGGGCTGTGAGTTGTCAGCTGGTGCTTTACTTTTCTTCACTGTAGGAACTGTCTGAAGGAGTTTGTGACAGTTGATATGTGAGATATGTTCGCAATGTCTTCCAAAGCGACAACCCCAGTTTGGCACTTTACAGCCGCAGTCGCCCCGCTGTGGAGGCTGGTGTTCCAGAGGTCTCCCATCACAGCACTAACCAGGCCCTGGGATCTTTACATACATTCCTAGTTCTCGTTCTACAGTCTGAGTCCTGGGTCTACAGCCTCAGTCCTCGTTCTACAGTCTGAGTCCTGGATCTACAGCCTCAGTCCTCGTTTTACAGTCTGAGTCCTGGATCTACAGCCTCAGTCCTCGTTCTACAGTCTGAGTCCTGGGTCTACAGCCTCAGTCCTCGTTCTACGGTCTGAGTCCTGGGTCTACAGCCTCAGTCCTCGTTCTACAGTCTGAGTCCTGGGTCTACAGCCTCAGTCCTCGTTCTACAGTCTGAGTCCTGGGTCAACAGCCTCAGTCCTCGTTCTACAGTCTGAGTCCTGGGTCTACAGCCTCAGTCCTCGTTCTACAGTCTGAGTCCTGGGTCTACAGCCTCAGTCCTCGTTCTACAGTCTGAGTCCTGGATCTACAGCCTCAGTCCTCGTTCTACAGTCTGAGTCCAATACCATGTGTTCCATATTCTCTGTGTCTTAACTGTTTTAGACACATTCTCTAAACTGTTTTTTGTGATATCAATGGTTTTGTTAAGTCTCTGAGATGATGCTGTTGTGATTTAGGGCGATACAAGAATAAAGTGAATTGAAAGTGAATTAACCGAACCACATCTTCTCCCGCTCTCCTTCAGCCATGTCCCTGTTCTGCCGTAAAGTAGACCCCACGTCGTACCGCGACCGGATCCCGCTGCGAGTGATCCGCGCCGAGGCCGAGCTGTCGGTGCTGGAGAAGGCCTACCTGGGCGCAGTGGAGCGGGGCGACTACGCCACGGTGCGCCAGGCCCTGGAGGAGGCCGAGATCTACTTCCGCATCAAACATCAACTGCGTGGACCCCTGGGGAGGACGGCGCTGCTCATCGCCATCGAGAACGAGAACCTGGAGATGATCGAGCTCCTGCTGAGCTTCAACGTGAGGGTGGGGGACGCCCTGCTGCACGCCGTCCGCAAGGAGGTGGTGGGGGCCGTGGAGCTGCTGCTGAACCATAAGAAGCCCCGGGGAGAGAACCAGGTGTGAGGCTTAGAAGGTTCTTTTAATAATAATAATATTAATAACAAAATTACATTGGGGTTATACAGCGCTTTTCAAAAACCCAAAAAGACAATTCAGGACACAGACACACAAATTCAGACAGACACAAAACTAAAAAACTAAACACAGTAAAGAAGCAGAGGTGAGGGGAGAGAGAGTTCCAGAGAGTGGGAGCCGAGATGGCGAATGCTCGGTCCCCCAGGGTTCGGTGCTTGGATTTGACAGTGGGAGTGAGGAGATGTGAGTCTGCAGATCAGAGTTAGCGGGAGGGACTGTAGGGCTGTCCCTCCCGTTAACTCCAACTAGTTTTCTCCACTTTCTTTAGACAAAAAGGTAAAGAAAGCTACTATTGCTTCATTACCACATGTTTGGGCAGTGGTCAGTCTGAGAGGACGTGGTCAGTCTGAGGGGGTGTGGTCAGTCTGAGGGGGCGTGGTCAGTCTGAGGGGGCGTGGTCAGTCTGAGGGGGTGTGGTCAGTCTGAGAGGACGTGGTCAGTCTGAGGGGGTGTGGTCAGTCTGAGGGGGCGTGGTCAGTCTGAGGGGGCGTGGTCAGTCTGAGGGGGTGTGGTCAGTCTGAGGGGGCGTGGTCAGTCTGAGAGGATGTGGTCAGTCTGAGGGGGCGTGGTCAGTCTGAGGGGGCGTGGTCAGTCTGAGGGGACGTGGTCAGTCTGAGGGGGTGTGGTCAGTCTGAGGGGGTGTGGTCAGTCTGAGAGGATGTGGTCAGTCTGAGGGGGCGTGGTCAGTCTGAGGGGGCGTGGTCAGTCTGAGGGGACGTGGTCAGTCTGAGGGGGCGTGGTCAGTCTGAGGGGACGTGGTCAGTCTGAGGGGGTGTGGTCAGTCTGAGGGGGTGTGGTCAGTCTGAGAGGATGTGGTCAGTCTGAGGGGGCGTGGTCAGTCTGAGGGGGCGTGGTCAGTCTGAGGGGGCGTGATCAGTCTGAGGGGGCGTGGTCAGTCTGAGGGGACGTGGTCAGTCTGAGAGGACGTGGTCAGTCTGAGGGGGTGTGGTCAGTCTGAGGGGGCGTGGTCAGTCTGAGAGGACGTGGTCAGTCTGAGGGGGTGTGGTCAGTCTGAGGGGGTGTGGTCAGTCTGAGAGGATGTGGTCAGTCTGAGGGGGCGTGGTCAGTCTGAGGGGGCGTGGTCAGTCTGAGGGGGCGTGATCAGTCTGAGGGGGCGTGGTCAGTCTGAGGGGACGTGGTCAGTCTGAGAGGACGTGGTCAGTCTGAGGGGGTGTGGTCAGTCTGAGGGGGCGTGGTCAGTCTGAGAGGACGTGGTCAGTCTGAGGGGGTGTGGTCAGTCTGAGAGGACGTGGTCAGTCTGAGGGGGTGTGGTCAGTCTGAGAGGACGTGGTCAGTCTGAGGGGACGTGGTTAGTCTGAGGGGGCGTGGTCAGTCTGAGGGGGCGTGGTCAGTCTGAGGGGGCGTGGTCAGTCTGAGAGGACGTGGTTAGTCTGAGGGGGTGTGGTCAGTCTGAGAGGATGTGGTCAGTCTGAGGGGGCGTGGTCAGTCTGAGGGGGCGTGGTCAGTCTGAGGGGACGTGGTCAGTCTGAGGGGGCGTGGTCAGTCTGAGGGGGCGTGGTCAGTCTGAGAGGACATGGTCAGTCTGAGGGGGTGTGGTCAGTCTGAGCGGACGTGGTCAGTCTGAGGGGGTGTGGTCAGTCTGAGGGGGCGTGGTCAGTCTGAGGGGGCGTGGTCAGTCTGAGGGGCGTGGTCAGTCTGAGAGAACATGGTCAGTCTGAGGGGGTGTGGTCAGTCTGAGAGGACGTGGTCAGTCTGAGAGGACGTGGTCAGTCTGAGGGGGCGTGGTCAATCTGAGGGGGTGTGGTCAGTCTGAGAGGATGTGGTCAGTCTGAGGGGGTGTGGTCAGTCTGAGCGGACGTGGTCAGTCTGAGGGGGTGTGGTCAGTCTGAGGGGGCGTGGTCAGTCTGAGGGGGCGTGGTAAGTCTGAGGGGGCGTGGTCAGTCTGAGGGATCAGATCCGTCAGACTCACCACATCCGACAACAACAGCTGATAAGAGACATGAGACATCAAAACATGTGGTAATTAAAGACGCTATACCCAATTTATTTTCAAACGAGTTCATAAAAACTAATTTAGAGACGTTTTAAAAAGCAGAAATGGCTCTGTCCATGTCCTAGCATGAAAATAGTTTGCTTTTGGATTGGACATATACACAATATAACAGCAATTTTCTGGACTCTCAAAGACACTTCTCATCATTATTCTTTCACTCCAAACACAGTGATGATAAATAGATAGTAGCCACAGCTGCCCTGGGGCACACTGACAGAAGTGAGGCAACCAGCTCTGTGCCAGACTCATCCTAATGTGGGGGAAGTGTCTGGCCCAAAGACACAGCCCTGCCCTGCTTAGCCTATAGGGGGTAACTTGTCGTAATTTCTGCTTCTGTGCCTGTAATGTGAGATCACCACACACACACACACACACACACACACACATAAATAGACACACACACACACACACTAAAGGAGGAGTTTCTAGGAACAATTTGAGAAAACCGCTCGACCACAGCCCATTAGCTGCAGCTCTTCATCAGATTAACATCATGTACAGACGCTGCGGTCGAGGGAAGAGCTCGTGAACATGTCTCTCACTCCATCTCTGTGCGGAGTGAGAGACTAATGCCCAAAAATAATAACAATTGTAAACCGCTTTGAGACTCTGGTCTGTGAAAGGCGGTATATAAATATAGATTACTTACTTACTTGTCACAAAAGCATATTTTAAACTTGGCCTGAAAGTCCATAAATGTTGTTGAAAGTCAAATGTCCTGGATCTTTGCCTCTCCGCTGTCCTTTAAACTTTTTCACAAAAAGATAAATACGTTTCAGAAATAATACATGTTTGTCCCTAACAAAAAAAGTGTATTTCTTTTTTTTTTTTTACAAATCAGACCAAACATGTTCTGTGACCAATCTGTGAGTCAGTGATTGGACTGTCTCACATTTTCAGGAAGATTGTTCCGGACTTTAGCTGCATACATCTATAATGCTGTCTCTTCATGTTTAGTCCTGACACTGGGACCAGCAGGAGACCAGTCCCTGTGCTCCTCAGAGTCCCAGCAGGAGACCAGTCCCTGTGCTCCTCAGAGTCCCAGCAGGAGGCCAGTCCCTGTGCTCCTCAGAGTCCCAGCAGGAGGCCAGTCCCTGTGCTCCCCAGAGTCCCAGCAGGAGGCCAGTCCCTGTGCTCATCAGAGTCCCAGCAGGAGGCCAGTCCCTGTGCTCATCAGAGTCCCAGCAGGAGGCCAGTCCCTGTGCTCCTCAGAGTCCCAGCAGGAGGCCAGTCCCTGTGCTCCTCAGAGTCCCAGTAGGAGGCCAGTCCCTGTGCTCCCCAGAGTCCCAGCAGGAGGCCAGTCCCTGTGCTCATCAGAGTCCCAGCAGGAGGCCAGTCCCTGTGCTCAGATCAGAGTCCCAGCAGGAGGCCAGTCCCTGTGCTCCTCAGAGTCCCAGCAGGAGGCCAGTCCCTGTGCTCCCCAGAGTCCCAGCAGAAGGCCAGTCCCTGTGCTTTGGTGCGAGGCCGTGGAGAGACCTACATTGTTGATCCTGACCTGTAAACATTAAGTATAATAACTCTGGATCTGATCCAGGGTCTAGTGTTATTTTTTTTGTCCACAATTTCCCACAAACAACTTTCTATTCATGGCTGTTCTGTTCTCACCAAACTACTGTGAAATAACGTGTCAACAAAGTTCTGTGTGTAATCTCATTATGGACAGTGAGCCATGGACACGGACGGATGGATAGTGTGTGTTAGTGTTGTGTTTCTGCAGAAGTCTTGGGGCCGGGAAAGTAGATCGCTGTGAGGGTCATCGTGGGTTCGTCACGTACA